TATTTCCAGTTTATTGCCGGCAAAGTTCCCAAGAAACATCTAAACGATGGGTATCTGTTTAGTGTAGAATATCTTACGATATTAAATGCAAAGATATGTATTAATATCAAAGGTAGATAATTAAAACAGTTTAAGAGACAATTAATTATTTTTCAATATCAACATATGAAAATAATAACCAAAATAGCGTTTCCGTAAACAAATTATAAAATTAAAATAAACAAACCAACTTTTTATTAATGTTTTTTATGCATAATAAATATATACTAGGTACCTATATACTAATATTGTAAACATGTAAAGTCTCTAAGTTTGTTTGTAAGGGCGAGGGGGGGGGGGGGGTTATCTTTGCACATTCTGATTCGAGCATTAAAATTCTTTCACCTACGAGAAGCTACACCGTATGTGGGTGACATAGGCTATAATTTCCACGGGCGATGTTGCAGGAACACAGTAAGTAATATATACATTTATACAGTGGTCTAATGAAATCATAAAACATCAATAATTTTCCTTTGATTTAAATTGTTATTTACTTAAATACTACTCTAAATTACTTTTTCCTATTCTTTCCGTTGTTACTTTGTATCTTTTACGGGTATGAATATGCGAGAATGTGGAAAATGACCTCTCAACCAAAGCTAACGTAGCAAGTACTGGTAAAATTTTAATTGCTATTTGATTCAATAATGTATTTTCGTAAAAAGTCATCCACCACTATTTTGGATCGATTGTATTAGCAGCTTGCCAAATAATATTTTTTGCATATAGCCTATTTCGACATTTATATTCTGATAGTTCCTTTATCAATTAGCAGATTCATCGTTAGTAGTGGCCAAATTCATAATAGCATTACAGCCTTCTAAATAATCTTCTTCTCTAAATTGGAACCACGAGATTTTGGATCAAACAGCTGCAAAATGCAAATTATTCAAAGCATTCTGTTTTAGTTCAAGAAACTTGCCTCGGAGTTATGGTAAATTATCTTCTAATACACCCATTGCGTTTCTGCTATTTAAAAGCTCCTCGATATCTAATAACGCTCCATAAACTAAATGTATCGTTCAGTAATCTCCCTCAAGCTTAGAGATCCAGTGCACAATTGGCGTAAAAAATCTGACATGATTTTTAATCGTGGCCCATTTTGATTCATTTAAGATATTTTCTTTATAGTTATCCAGTTCCCGAATGTCAGTGATCACCATAGTCGGAAGTATAAGCGTTTAAAAAAAATCCAAACAATGTAAATAACTTCCCCATCTATGTAGTTTTAACTGGTAATACGAGCGCTATATTTATAGATTTATCCTCAGAGAGTTTTTTGAATTCTGATTTTAGAATATGTGATTTTGGATTTTTTGTAGAATTGCAAGATTCTGGTGTTCTCTTTTAAAATTTTATCCATATCCTCTTTTTTGTCGACGGAGCATTGTTTACATGCGTTTACAAATGATGCATAAATTTGGTTGCTTTCTTTAATGTAAAATTATCGCAACAAAAGCTACATTTATAAGATTTACGCCCGATTTCGTCTCTGTTTTCTTTGAGTCGCAAACAATGTACATACTAGCAAAACGGGAGCTGCAGTATTATGTTTGTTATAAAACGTTGAACTCGTCGTTGAGCGCAGCGCTGTCATAGCATAGAGATTCAGGCAAATAAAACTAAGCACAAAGGTAATAAAGTTTTATTTAATTTAATTTCTATGAGGTGACACCGCTGCGCTCGACGACGAGTTGAGGATGTTTTTAACATACAGATATTGTAGAAGGCGTTACGTATTGAAGTTAGAATCATAACGAGGCAGTGATTTAGTATGCTTATTCATCTATATAATACGACAAAAAGTCCTGGGAACTTTCGGCAATATTCCCAATGTGCCCGGTAAATTTCCGGGCATATTGGGAGTGGAAAATTTCCGGCAGTGGCAATATTCCCAGATGTACATCACTAATGACATCCCTTCCGGTTTTCTTTCATGTACAAAATTAAATTAATTTTCAAAACTCAATAAACATCTCATATTCAATTTGTACTTTTTCGTATTTGTACTGATATCTAAGTTTCGAACTTTGCAAATTTCAGTTTTTTAATATGCTAGTTAAAAGAAACGGAAATGACTATCTTTGGTCCATTCGTTTCATACAAAAATCAACTTCTGCTAGAGTCGCCATCTAGTGAGGTGCTTTTTTAGAGCTGCTTTTTTTTAAATACTTCCTCATTTTATAATTACTTTTATGAACTCTTTTTCGTGGCAACTTCTTAGCCCTGCTGAATCGCCACGTATCGACTAGTTAATTGTACTATTTCATAAATTTCTCGCTTAATTTTTCACTATTACGAACGAGCCTTTACTAGAACTTGGGAGACTTACGAGTATAATCCGGTCATTGTCGCTTTATGTTCTATTTAGCTGGTCTTCCATCAAATAAATACGTATATAGAATAGGCAAACCCGACCGACTTATTCTTATAAACGCATAGCCGAAGCTACTGTGCCTAGAAACTAGAAATTTGGCACAGGGGCTCCTTTCATGGTGTAAGTGAGCACTGCAAAAGCATTTTTCAAAATTCAACCCCTAATGGGGTTTATATGGAACTAGTGGCCGCCAGCGACTTCGTCCGCGTTTTCCATTATTTCTTCGCTCCTAATAGTAGCAGCGTGATGTTATATAGCCTAAAGCCTTCCTCGATAAATAGTCTATTCAACACAAAAAGAATTTTTCAATTCGAACCAGTATTTCCTGAGATAAGCGCGTTCAAACAAACAAACAAACTCTTCAGCTATATAATATTAGTATAGATATTATAGTATAGATGAATGAATGAAAAAATCTTTATTGTACGCCAAAGGAAAAAACAAAGATGGATCAATTTAAATGCAGAACTAGAGGCCCTATTATAATAACTAAAAAGTAATTTCTTCCAGGCAACCTTGCGAACTGAACAAAAGTATATCTAGATTAGATCAAGGTAGCTTATGGTGCCTCAAAACTTTATTTTAACATCATACCTCTACATATATTTAATGAATAAATTAAATACACACAAAATATGTACATAAATACCCCCGGGCGAAGCCCTTGGCTACTATATACTAATATTATAAAAAGAAAAGATTAGATGGTTTGTCTAGATCGAATAGGTTCCAGAACTACTGGACTGATTTCAAAAAGTCACTTACGGTTAGCTACATGATAAGGGGTTGATATACATAGGCTATAATTTGCACGTGCGAAGTCGCTGGACAATATTTAGTTAATAATAAATAGCTTCAATAACAGACAAATGAAACGTTCAAAATATATCAGACCAAGTTCCGGACACAATGACGTACAGTTAATAGGTACTCGCCTATTGATAACGACTCTTACGTTGGTACAATATAACCGATAAAAGGCGAATTAAACAAATATACCTACAGATATTTTAGTAACACTGCGTTACACTTTTAAAATAATCAAATAGTTCAATGAAATACAAGTTTAGCAATTTATACATATATTTTATTAACAATATGATATAATCGACATGCGCTCTTTATCCTTGTTACAAAAAAAAAGATATTTATTATACATTAAGACACTAAAATCAAACAATTTTAAGATAATATAGTCTATAACAGAATAATGATTTCAATAACATGGACTTTCTCCTAATTTACATAATATAACTGTTTATTACGAGCTGACTGTTCACGTAATCGGCTATCACATAAGCTTTAATAATTACACACGTAAAACTGATTTAGCCGTTTTGGAAATTATCAAATACAAGTATCATACGACAGTCAGCGAACTATTATTACCTAAATCACTATGAATAATATATATTCCATTATTATACATTTTAGTTTACTTTTTACAGACACTTGCCTCAAAGATTCGTTTTATTTTCAAATAAGTTTGTATAGGTCGAGTCACGAGTGATAAACACTGCACAAAAATTATTATATATTTTCGCAGGCAGAACGTCAAGGGGGTTTTGACTTTAAAGGTATTAATGCCATAAAAATAACATAAATGTGTCCGTTCGTGACGCAGTTGCCGTCAAATAGACAAGGGTAGTTCGATTCCGTCGAAACATCAGTCAAGCGACTGATGGATGAAATTTTCGTCGAGTGTGCAAGGTCGAATGTCATCTTTTGTAATCTGTCAGTTCTGCAATCGAAGGGACACAACGTATCTTCCGCCAGATATGCACAGACTCAAATATTTGCATATTGCATATTTACGGCGAGTGCTAATCACTCGTGGTGGCGCGACATACATGAAGTTACATTGCTAAAGACATTCATCGAATAGAGTGCATAATCAATAAATTTTCCTGTGAGTAATAGTTTCCTGATATTCCAACAAAGGTTCAATTGATATGAACTACATTTGACAGTTTAAATTGAAATAAATTGAAGTAGGTGCACCGACATGTACTTATTATTACTTTCGTTTTGTTCCGCAATGATATGTCCAGTATAAAAATATTTAATTGTTTGGGTGAGCGAAATTTTTGAAACAGGTATAACTAGACTTCCAAAGCATATAAATCACATCAAATATATTTTAACAGTAAGTTAATAAAAGTTGAGGATGGTACAAAGCTACGATTACTGTAAAATGAGCTAGACATTAAGATGCAAAATGCCTGAATCTATCGTAATATTAAATAGAATTGAAAGATATTCTGCGATTTAATTAGAATATACATTTTTTTAATGTTTACTTATGCAATACTCATCAAGGATATCGATTATTATTCTAGACTTGCAACGAATAGTATCTTCGAGTACTGACGATACGTACTGACCACCCTCTCACCCCGTGCCGCCCGTGCAAAGGTTTAGTTCGTGCATATCGTAAATACGTTAAGTACAATATATAGTTCGCTCTGCGTTTTGATTCGTGTGAAATTGTGAAAGATCTAACAAATAAACAATAAAATAATCACTTAAAGTACTCCCTAAAAATACAGCAAAATTAATCCTTCTACACCATAATGTTCCACTTCTGTACTCAGATGCATAAGAAAACGTTTAACTTTGTAATACAGAAGTTTATTTATATACTATCTGTTCTAATGACTTTTTATCATTATGAGAATATGAAAATGATATTACAAAATTAATCAATAATTTCTTTTCTTATATCAATAACCTCATAAAACCAAAATATATTATGCGGTATCCGGCCGAATATAACAAAAGGAGGCCAACAGGCTGAATACTGAATATTCGTTGCAAGTCTAATCTAAACTGATCTTACCGTAATAATAACATTTTGTTTAATTATTTGGCTAGGTAAATAAGAGATTTGTAATCAATTAGCAATTCTGTTTCGATGATCTCATGTGTGTTTAAGCATTTCTAATTTAAATATAAATCAATCATAAATATATTTTCTAAGTTACACATTACTTTATATTTCCTTATGATTTCAAATAATGTCCTTTATAAATAAAGCATTGATTTACATATTAATCTATATTTTGAGAAAGCCAGATATGACTTTATTATTATGATGAGATGGCATAAATGTATCACAATATTTATCCATCACCATTCTTCAAATAGTCAATGAATCCCTGACTTCATGTTTAAAAAAAAATGCAATCCATTAAAAATTTTCAGAAAATAAAGAGTGTAAGAATTATAAGTTTTCTGATTAAGTTAAATTGTAAAAAGAATATATCAGTCATTTTTAAACAACACATATTTTAGTTAAATGACAATACATTTTCAGATAGGAACAGAATGTGATAAAAGTTGATAGCAGTGAATTAACAAATGGGTAGTCAATTAAAAAAAAAACAGTTTATATCTTCAGTGACTGATTGAAAAGGTAAACAGAATATTACATATATACCCATTACCAAAACTGAATACAATAAATTAAATATGAACAGATTTTGCGAATTATATAGGCATACATTTGTTTTTCTACTGAAGCCAACCACAAATAAAGTTTAGTAATAACACAGTGCATTCACTATTAGCAGCTATAATCAAAGTGTAAACTTTAATGCAGTAACTGCAGGTATGATAAAACTTGGTAATTCCACATCCTGATGGGCATCAGTAATTCGTATTTGACTAATAGACATACACTTTAATCACAATAACAACTGCACTTCATTTAATGAAGTATTATCATTATTATTGCATTTTTAATTATCTCTATTCACACACAATCCATGAATGAATCTTTCTTTTAATTATAGCTAATGAAGTTTCAAGTAATTTTAACATATGATGTAGCAACATGCTAACATTAGTATAGATATACTTCAACTGTCTCCATGTTGTATTTGAGATTTATAAAAAAATCCAACATGGAAATAGTAATTTACAATTTATATATAAATAACAATTCAATTGATGTATGATTTCATTTTGTCCTTTAAACAATTGTTTTCAAGTAAGAAAACATGCAGTTCATTTCGTCGGCGGCTGTTAAGTCCACCGAGCATATACACATCGGCTATTGACTCGGATTGGCTTCCACACTCTCAGGGTGACTGATAACTGGTTTCTCTGCAATTCTTGGTTTTTCTGCAATTGGGGGCTTCTCAGCAACTTGCGGTTTCTCTGCAACTTGAGGTTTCTCCGTAACCTGTGGTTTTTCTATAACTTGTGGTTTCTCTATTGCTTGTGATTTCTCTATTACTTGTGGCTTTTCAGTATCCTGTAGAGTTTCTACCACTACATGCTTCTCCATAGGTTTCACAGCTGCAATTGGGACCTCTGGTTCATTATTCTCAATGTGTGTATTAGATAATTTATTTGTTATTATCTCAGATTTGTCTTGCTCCATTTCACTTGGTCCATTATGTTTCTCACCATCTGACATGGATGGTGATACTGATCTTTGCAACATATTTTCTGGGTGGGAGGGTGAGATTCCTCTTGCTGAATTTTCTTCACTAGATGCACTCATCTGCCTCGGCATTGCTTGACTGGGATGTGACAAAGTCTGAGGATGGTGCGGGTTATGTAATGGTAATCTAGATTTGTCACTCTTTCTCCATAGTGTCACTTCTTGCTGTTTGAAGTAACGTCGGTCTTCAGTGTCCATTAGAACAAGATTTAAATAATATCGTACAGAGAACTTGTTATTTATGTCCCTCATTGTAGGTGTTAAGTCATAACCAGCTAAGAAAACTCTAATAGGAATACTCTCACCTCTGACTGGAGCTCCATCCATTATTTCATATTTAGCAACAGTTTCATTCTCTGTAAAAGTATTAGGCCCTGAACCGGTAGTTTCTCTTTTGATAATTGAGATTTCCATATGCTTAATTTTTATACGAACAAGTAAGAAATAGATTTTACCAACTATAACATCTTTTAAATGGTACTTTGATTTATTGTACTCAAATTCTATGTGGAGGCAATCTTCAATGCCTACTTCCATTTTTATTGAGCTCAACACATCTGGATAGCTGCAAAGCGTGTGAACAGCGATATCGACTTCTTTTACGATGTCTGTTAGTCGGCGAACTATGGTAGCTCTCAAGAAATACCTTAGCCTGACATTTGCACCTGTGTAAACTTCGTAGGGTTTCTCGACGTTTGAAAACTCAAAAGGATATGATGTATGCTGCAATAAGTCGCCAGGACGAGCGAGCTCCTTCACTAATGATATAAATTCATGATGATTACCTCTGTCGTAAAATAATTCGATCTGACCTATAAGCTCGACCTTGATTCCTTGATGTTCTAGTTTCGATCCTGGTTTCCTCAAGGTTACATTTACTCTACCCGAAACTGTTTCGCCATCATAATACAGCAACAATTTCTCCTTTTTACCATCATCCGTTTTGACTTCGGCAACCTTCCGTTTGTCAGCATCGTCGAAAACGATTTCAATATCCGCAGTTTGTCCGAACCCGAAAAAGCTCATTTTCACACTCAACTGTTGCGCAAGATACCCAAAAGTTTTTACGTGGCTTTAGTAATGAAAAATAACGTTTTGTTTGAGCAAAACATTGAAAATCGGCGATGAAACGCCCGCGAATCCGTGAGTGATTGAAGTAAAGATGGCGACTGATTTTATGTCGGCTGTCGGATAAGATATTCATAAATAAAATTATATTGTAATTACTTACCAACAAGACATCTCTGAATTTCACAGGCAAATCTCTTGCAGGGGTCCTTCGGCATATATATTTATTTCTGTTAAGTTCACAGTAATATTTCTTAGAAATCTTGAATTTCGATCGTGTAACAATTTTAGATATGGCAATATTATTTATAAATATGACGATTTGAGATGTAGTGCTAAAAATCCAAATCGCAACAAAATGTACTGTAGCATTAATAATATTGTCTCATTTATAATAGTTGCGTTTAATACAATTCTAATTTAATATATGATAGATAAATTTATTAAAATAATGCTAGATACTGGCGGGCAGTTTCAACTGATGATAGAGAAGATAGAGAGATAATATTCGTAGAGTATTGTTCTGGTTCTGTGATAGAGACCCCCATAGTGTTTAAATGAGTATATGGTTTAAATTATCTTTTGAGACCACGGCAATGCAGAGTATACTAGTGATGTTTACAATCCAAAGTGAGCCCAAGCATATACGAACGATAATTTTCTCTACTGAATACTCAATATATTACAGAAAATTATCGTTTATAAAGTAAAAATCGGCAAAATTATGGTACACCAATATATAATTTTCAAAGTCACAAGTAATTTTCTAACTATAGTACCAATGTAATAAGGTTTAAAATCAAATGAGGTAATTTGTCAGATTTTAATAACTTGACGTGCTGTTGACTGTACTTATAAATGTAAATGCTGATTTTTCAATCCTCAGATAAAGGTACCAATAGTTAACTGAAGATTAAAATTATTTACAATACCGTCTTACCTCATCAAATATAAGATATCATAAAAATAAATATACTAGATACTCAAAAATACTAAAAAGATGTATTGCTCAGGCACAAAAGCATACTAATCTGAAGTATATCTCAAAATCTAATAATGTCTATAAAGCAATGTGGGATATCATTAAAAATACAAACCAATACAATAAATCTAATATCGACATAAGTAACATTAAATTACATAATCACAATTATTTAAATAATCCAAATGACATTTGCGATGAATTCAACAAATATTTTATAAATTTGACTAATAGCAACGACTTTGACAGTAAAAATAATTACAATAGTGCCTTAAGTAATATACCATTTCACTGTAACTCGATTTATCTAAGACCAACATATGAAAAGGAAGTTTACAATATAATAATGAGCCTTAAAAATACGTCGTCGACGGGATATGATGACATTAATACTAAAATTATAAAACAAATAATCAATGACATACTTCGCCCTTTAGTTTATGTAATAAGTCCCTGGTGCAAGGTTGCTTCCCATCAAAGTTAAAGTACTCAATAATTAAGCCACTATATAAAAATGGATCGAAAGAGGAGATGAGTAACTATAGGCCTATTACTTTAATTCCTATACTATCAAAAGTATTTGAGAAAATCATCTCAGATAGATTATATAACTTTTTTAACACATACAAGTTATTAAAGGATGAACAATTCGGTTTTAGGAAATCCAAATCCACTACACTGGCCTGCTTTGAACTTATAAAAAATGTTACTCAAGGTCTTGACGGTGGAATGAATACTCTCGCTTTATTTCTAGACATGAGTAAGGCTTTCGATTACGTTTCTCATTCTCTCCTATTGAAAAAACTTGAAAGATATGGGATAAGAGGGATAGCTATGTCATGGATAGAAAGTTATTTGAAAGATAGGCAACAATGTGTACAGATTTCAAATATTGAAAAAAATAGAAAAGTGGTATACCAATCCACTTACCGCGTAAATAAGACAGGAGTGCCACAAGGAAGTGTGCTGGGCCCTTTACTCTTCCTTATCTACATAAATGACCTCCTAGATATGACGGAACATAAATGTATACTATTTGCCGATGATACAACACTTATTGTAAAATGTCGAAATATTAATGAGATGAGTGAAGTTACAAATAAATCCCTCTATAAGATAATGGAATGGTTACTCGTAAATAATTTAAAAGTAAATTTAGATAAGACTAAATATATATTATTTAAAACACATTAACAACAATAGTATAGATATTAATTATAACTTGGAAAAAATCAATGAAACAATTATGACAAAATTTCTGGGTATAACAATTGATGATCAATGTAACTGGAAAATACATAAAGACTCAATGATGCTTAAACTTGACAGATTTGTATTTCTGCTAAGAAGAATAAGAAAAACTGTATCTAAAACTGCAGCTATAACAGGCTATCATGGATATGTAGCATCATTGTTACGGTATAACATTATTTTATGGGGAAACTCCGTCGATAGTGACAAAGTCTTTAAGTTACAAAAAAAATGTATAAGATCTATATGTGGTGCTGGATTTTTGGACTCGTGTAAGCCACTTTTAAAAAATTTGAATATTCTTCCTTTGCCTTGTCTATATATTTTTGAAATAGCAAAATTTGTAAAGAGGAATATGGTTGTGTTTGAAGTGAATAGTAATAGCTGTAATTATAGGGGTAGATATAAAGATAAATTGTGTGTGCCACCACAAAGATTGACTCTTTATTCCAAAAATGCTTTTTGTATGGCTATACGTATTTATAATAAGCTGCCAAAACACCTCACTGACATGACTTTGACGAAATTCCAAAAACATCTGCATGAATATTTAATAAATAAATTGTATTATAATATTAATGACTTCTTAATGGATAAAATTGGTAATTAAATTTAAATTTAGATGACATTTAATTTGACATTTTTAATGATAATTGTAAATGGATTATTATGATTGAATGGTTAATTATTAATTATTGACATCGTCTTAACTGAAACATTATTCTCTGTTTTTATGTAATGACATTTAAAAATAAAAATATTTGCACACTGTTCATATACTGTAGAATATGAGAAACTATTGTTAATAACTGTGTAACATCATGTGTACCATATTCTCGCAAATAAACATTTTTTAATGCTTACTAGGTATTCGTAAATAATAAATCATATGTGTATCTAACTATTAGAAAATTACATCATAATTCAAATTAGGATCTAAATTTTGTCACAGTCAAAAAGTAAATTCATGAAATTTTCTAATAGAAAAACATTACAAAGGTGCTCCTGAAATTCATACTTTTTTCCTTTTTTTATCGACATCATATTTTGATATTGTTTTTTTTTTATATTGAAAATTAATGATGCGAGTTATATTCTGTAAAACAGACAAATTACCTAATATCTAACAATTTTTTTAACTGTTAATTACTTATTTGTTTAGTTTTATCCACCTGTAATAATTTTAATAAGTATTGTTTTTTATCTTATAATACATTAGGTTTACTACTTATACTGATGAGTTTCTTCCTTATTTTATTTTATTTTATCAGCCAAAGATCTAAATTAGTAGTTCAAAACAACTATAATTTCAGTTTAGTTTAGCCTCAGCATTGAGAACGTAAAAAAGCTGATAATGAAAATAAAAATATTACTCATCTACTCTATTCCTTCTTATAAAAGTTGGCAACCCTTGTGTTGTGGAACCTTCGTTGTTTCAGGTACTCCGTAAAAGAAATTAACTTTATTCTATGCTTTAGCTGTTCATCTTGGAAACTGATTAACTAAAGTGATTTCTAAAGGTGAAATTTTTAACTGTTGGCTATCCATGGATATTTACAAAGGAGCCGTAACCCGCTCGTCTATGTTCGTTCGATATCATACCAAACTGATCCGTCTGCCATTAATGTCAATTAGAACTGATTGGAATTTGTGATTAAATGGCAACAAACATAACTCGCAATAAGTAGATTTTCTTTTTAAAATCTGCAATCATTTATTTATAATAGGTATTCAATAATACAAATGAAGTTTAATGCTAATTTAAAATATTATTTATCAGACAATAATACGAAAAACTAGGCTGTTTGAGGTAAGATTCCTTTGCCTTAAAAGATATCGAAAACCGTAAAAACTTAAATGGCGAATTACAAAATTTTCTGAAAACCCAATTGATTTCATCTTTTGAAAACAAACAAAGTTGTTTATAAGCATGGAAATAACTCGCACTACCCTTGGGATCGCAGCGGGTATAGCTGGAACTTTGTTCCTGGGTTATTGTGTGTATTTCGATCAACAGCGTAGGAAGGACCCTCTTTTTAAGAAGAAGCTGCGAGAACGTGAGTATTTCTCAATGTATCTAAACTTTGAATGTGATTTAAGTTACTAAATAAAAAATTTGCATGGTGATAAACAATTAATTTCAAAAAAATATTAGTGATATCTTCATAACCTAAAAAATTACTACTTTGTTACAACACGTCGATAGATTTGATTCAATAGACTGGAACATGTACTAGTAGTACCTGTAACCTTTTTAGAAACAATATATCAAAGTTACTGGTGAAAGCAGTTGTAGACGATGGATGACATTGACTCCGTTGAACATAATCAAAGCTTGCCAAGTTATTTATATATTATAGTTAGGTTAGGTGTACGGTATTGTAACGTTCAGAACGAAGTTCAATGTTTCGTTAAGAACATATGGTATAGTTTCGCTTTGTATACAAAACAACATAAAAAACAAACTTCTTACATAGTGAAAAGAAAGTAAATTTTTATTCTTAACATGCAATTGGAAATACTAAAACGTCCAAAGTTACTTTTTTTACGGTTACTTTTGTCTGTTTTGCACAAAACATTAAGTACTAAGCATGAAGGTTTTATTTAAAGTGGTGGTTGAATTATATGCTTTAAGTGTCATACTGCCTGTTGCACAAACATACATTATATTGGCATTACTTTAAAATTACTATTAGAATAAAAAGTTTGTTTAGAAATAATTTCTAATTCAGAAAGTTAAATTATATTATATATTTAATTTAATTTTTTTAAATCAATTAGCAATAGGCGACTATGTAATTTATGTAAACACATTTGACAACTATCATAACAAAATAAACATTCTGAATACTATAAAAACACATCTATAATTGATATTGATTATAACAATAAAATATTAAGCCGTGTATCGCCTGCGCGCGGCTGCCGCGCGAGCCATGTTCGACCGCGGCAAACCTGCGTTTTGGTGCGCGAGCCAATTTAAAGCTCACATTTTCATATAGCGCGGCAGCCGCGCGCGGCAGGCGATCCGTGAACAAACATTCATTTTGTGCGCGGCAACCATGGACATATCACGTCAGCGACGTGCAGCTGCGGCTTTTATCATCATATATCATATTATTCATAAGCGTTCGAGACGAGAACCTCGTTGGTGGATCAAAAAAATGAAGAATGCTACATGGTAGTTCACGATTAATGGAAGACATGAGATACGAAGCTATCGACGAAACAATCAAAAATTCCACACGAATGACAACAAATAAGTAAGGTTTTAAGCCATAAAATCTAATCAAATGCCGACATTTCTTGTTATCCATCTTGCCGCGCGTCTCTAAGTAAAAGGTCCGTCCCAATTGCGCACGCACAACACACTGACGCTCCTTTGCCGCGCCACCAAAAACCGACACGAACTGGTTCGCCGCGCGGCACGTTCGAGCGCGCCAATATTCGAGCTGCCGCGCGCGGCGGAGCCGTCCCCATATTGCGCGGCCGCCGCGCGAGCCAATGTTCGATGGTTTGCCGCGCGCAGTCGATACGCGGCTTTATTCTAACCTTTCATTCTGAGAAAGTAATTTATAAAATGAAATCATGTTTGAAGAGATCATATTTAAACATCCATTTATGACACAATATTTTCGTGTCATTTGCATTGAGATCGCTCACTCTCCGTACATCTAGTAATCTTGCTGTTGCAAGAGCATCTGAGTGCACCTCAAGACTTGAAAATGTGCACATTAATTCAACCGTTACTTCTTAACTGCGCTACTGTTTTATTCTGTGTTCAAGGTATGTTTTTAAATTTATTTCAGGTCGACAGAATGCTGTCAAGAACTCATCACGATCGAGCACACTTGGAGGACCCTTACCAGATATGAATGATCATGAGGCCATGCAGAGATTCTTCTTGCAGCAGGTATATTGATAAAGATTTTTGTTCTAGTGTTTTTGTTCTAAATCTTCTGTTAGAGTTGGTAAAGATTTTTTGAGAAGTGTTAAGAGGTATTATAAAAGCTTGAACAATAGATGATGGTGACATGGTGATAGAATTTTGTCAAGTTATTCACTGTCATCACTCAAAAAAACCCCTTTGTGCAGTTATCTCAGTTTAATCAGCTCAATATATATCATACATGTCAATTTCATTGTTTTTACATGAATGAAGTACAGGCAAGCAAAATCACATTGTACAGATGACGCCAAACAACTTGAACAAATGACCTTGCATGCGCAGAAACCGATTTTAGGCGTCGCGGTATGCGGTGCGGGGCGCGGCGTGCGGAAGTAGGATCGCATCGACCGCGCCAATCCACGCTATTGGTGGATCAGTCAACCATCGCTTCCCGCTTTGTGTTCACGTCTCATCGCTACTTCAGTACACTTGCAGGCAATAACATCACGACCTCAAAATATGTCTCGTCGACAATCAAACACAGTTTTAAAAAGTTATAATAGTTTACAGTGGTTGCACTAGACTAGAGGGTTCATAACGGTCTTGTAGTACTGCTACGAAGTCTCGTAATTTCTCACTACTACTATACACGCAGCTACTTACTTCACGTGTATCATTCGTGTGCACGTTTACCACTCAGTCACTCATGCAAATAGGACAGAAAAAATACAGAAATAAATAGTTAACGTAGGAATAAGAAATTCTAATGCATAGGTTTTTTTGCTCGTAAGTGTACATGCGCAAACTTTCCCCCACCACCACACTTTTTGTTCAAGTTGTTTGGCGTCATCTGTACTTACCCACATAAATGTAAAGTATTATATGTAAATTAATGTTTTTAGATACAACTCGGGGAAGAGCTTCTAGCAGCTGGAAATTTGGAAGCTGGTGTGGAGCATCTTGGACAGGCAGTGGCTGTTTGTGGACAGACACAACAATTGCTTGGTGTAAGTTCTATAAAATCAGTGTATACTTATTTTGTGCAAGCTGTTTTTTTGGTAAGCTAATAAATGCAAACCTGCTTTGCCTGTGAAACTGTCCCTTAAAGGTTAAATTATAGTATTCTGAGTATGATGATACTTTCATTAAGTGAAATTTTCTTAATTTCAGATTATTCAAATAATCATTAATAAAATTGATACTCCAACAATTTTTTTTTGGTCAGTGCCAGCCATATTGTTTAGTAAGAAGTAAAGTAGCACTATATCAGAAAATGTATTATTTTCTCACCATACATGATATTTTTCTTATAAATATCTGGCACCAACCCAAAAAAAGTTGTTGGTGTTCACAACAATTCCACCTTGTTGTTTCGATTTTATTGGAGATAAAGATCTTTTCAGTAGTTTCTCTTTTTAAGTTTTTTAGAAGTTTGTTTAATTTTTTTAATTTGTTTTTTATTTTTTTTCTTTTTTTAATAATATATTTTATCACCAATTCATACTGCTTACTTCTAACTTATAATAAATGGACACCTTTGTCTGTATATAAGCATACTTATATTATCAGATAAATATTTTCTGTGATGTTAGCAGTTCTAACCTAACCTAAATTCTGGTAATAGTTCATAAGTGATTTAATAAGTTTTCTATTATGATGTCCCTAAGGTGAAAAATAGTTAATCAGACAAAGAACTCATTTCAATTCAATGTCTAATTTACGAGAATTACGCCATATTCCAACAAAATTACATATGCACATGTATTAATGATAACTTACAGGTCAATCGATAACTTTTTTTTTAAGTCGGTTAATGGCGTACATACACAAGTAAATTGACGGCCTCCTTTTTTTGGTGATTAAAAAGACGGTCATCAATTTTAACTTCCTTTATAAATAGGTTAAATTTCTACTTTTATAAGTAGGTATTTTAAAGAACAATGGCGAACTCCCATATAGCTTTGGACCTGAATTTTTAAAGTCGCGTTCATCAATGAAATAAACGTGTACTTGAAGGTATAAGCTAAACTAACAAAATCCTAATCGTCTTTTTCCTTTAAAAGTTGGGATTAAAGAGATATGGCATAAAATACTTTGTGAGGTTATATATTGCATCTTTGCTTTTTCGTTGAATGGACGTTAAAATGAATAAAAATGGTAACCAGGTTACTCCGTTTAATAAACTAGATCAAAATAATTACATATCTAACAATATCCAGACATTTATAATAGAAGAAACATTTATAACATATGACTAAACTGTGTGGAGTAGATCCCTTTGCCTTTAATTAAATCATTACAACTGAAAGTGACAAACAAGGGCAATGTACACATTGAACTATCATTGTTATAACCGAATCAATTGCCATTCGGAATCCAAAAGTAATGCAAATATCAACGTTGGTCGAAGAAACATGCTTAATTGTCAAGTTGAATATTAACATAAATATCAAACTCCACGAACGAACACACAAAAAACAAACCAAACCAATCATCCGCTATCATTCCACCATCATCATCTTAGAACATTCATAGATGAAAACAAACATGTCAAAATAAAATCAACTAATCGATTATTTAGAACAAAATAATCGATACGTTAACCTTTCATCGGTTCAACTACAGAACTGGCAATAATCTTCTTAAATCGGTTGTGGTATCTTAGCTTTAAATTTTTTTTATTTCTCAAGTATTCAATACGTAATTTGAACGAATAAAATAAATATTTATGAAAGTATTCAAAGACCGTATTTATATTATATATAGATTTTATATTGAATATATATTTAACGTTCATTCGCTCAGTCGGTACACGTCATTACATCACATATCTCACTAATTATTAGCAGTAAATGGCGACAGATAATATTCTATAGAACATGTTTGAAAAACTCGCGATTAATTGAGAATCGCTTCTGACATCGTTGATGTATGTGATCGATTTTTCAAAAACCATCCAAAGTACAACCCTTTGATATATTGTGTGGTTTTCAATTAAAGAGAACGAAATGCATTCTATACAATCTTATTTTGACTTTATATTCGATTATTAAGCGTATTGATGGTACTTTAAAGGTAATAGAATTAATTGCAATGTACAGGAAACGATAATATCCATTAAAATAGATGACCCTTTTCAAGGGCAAAAGTCATGAAACACTTCCAAGATATAGTTTTATTATTAAAGTACTTCTGCGTAAACCAGAACGTTTCTTAAAAAGATTTTCGCGTTTTGTTTTTGCACTATCATCAGACGTTTTGTTATCTTGATAATTATTAGCAGCATTTAACATTTTAGTTTGGTTCCCCGACATTAAAATTCACCATTTTGTAGAAATAAAATCTATTAATCATATATTATTTATTTGTCATATTGCCATCCATGTACGGTTTTGTAAATTATGGGGTCCGATTTCGCCATTCTTCTTTTAATAGTTATCTCTAAAATTATTGAACTGATTTTGATGAAACTCAAAAGTGTTGCAGTATAAGTTGAAAAACAACATAGTTTGCGAGATATATGTGGATAAACTTACACACATACATACATACATCTATAAAATTTTGCACATGTGTTCAGAAGCCCATACAGACCAACATGTATGAATTTTACACCATTCCAACTAAATTACATACATATAGAGCACTTTTTTTTTAATCCGGTTAATAAATAATACGGACTTTTTAAAGCAATTACAATAACCAGAAATCATATGATTATATTTTATTTTTTTCTCAGGTTCTGCAACAGACTATGCCAGCACCAATTTTCCACCTCCTACTCAAGAAATTACCTGAAGTGTCTGAACGCCTTCGTGCCTCTATGAAAGCTAGTGGCAATGTGTTGCAGGAGGAGGATGTTGAATAAATTATTATAATAGATTCAGAATTTGCACTAATTAACCATTATCACTGCGATGTTGGCAACTTTGATTATATTTTTATCATGGCAACATAGATGTTCTTTGCATTGATTTTATATAACACTGATTTTACTGTTTTTTTTTCTTATTTTAAATATTTAACACAGACAGGTAATTACATATTGAAATATTATAGGTTAATTTAAAATCTCATTCAGTTTAGTATCTTATTTATGCTCAATCTATCAATGATTTATAAGAATCGACTAAAGTTTGTTTCGAGAGGCTTTCTATTCTTATTAATGTTCTACCTATGTCTTCAAATTAAATCCTTTGTGAATAAGCAGTATGTTCATTTCCTATAACACTGAAATCTAAAGACAGTCGAAGTTGTTGGATGTAAAATTTTGGAATAGTTCACGTTGGCTGTGATGATAATTAATATGCTTGAATAAAGAAAAGTCGGCCACACAGAAATGCTTGCAAAGAAAAAAATCGCGTGTTCGATAATTATAATGTAGTAGTAACGTATTTGTTAGTGTTATTTTTAGGATTTGTTTTGTGTTTCCAACTGGTTAAGAATGCTTGTGAGTTTTGATCGAGATTTTATTGTGAAATAAAGGTATTGTACAAATTAAATATTGTTTTTTTTTTTTTTTTATTTGAAGTCTAGAGAAAAAAGTCTGCGGTATTGTGAGACAATTAGCGATAGCGGTCATCAGTACATCATACAAATTAATGACAAAATCACCTTTGTATTAGAGATTAAAAGATTATCTGGAAAGTTTTTTGAAATTCATTATAAGTACAGAGTTCGTTTATATTCGAAGCAACGTAACTTTTCTATTTGTCCAAAGATAATTTGTTCCTATTTCGTAATGGACTGATTTTTAAGGGACTAGATAAATCAAGAATTCATATTCTTAAAGAAAATACTTAAAAATCCACTTTATCCTTGGCACTCTGAGATATGACTCTGACCCATGAACTTTCGCAATTATGGGTTCTTTCATGGAATTTTTTTCATTAAGAATATTTTTCACTATAGCATTGTGAATGCAAAATTGATCAAATATAATGATTAAGAATTAATTTCAAAATCGAAGAGGCTGGCGCTGCCACCTAACACACAATCTGCCAGTTGCACAAACATCCATTAGGATTCAATGACGTCATTAACCTCTTATGAATTTCAAATTTGTATGGTTGAATTTCCATTAAATTAAAATATATAAGTTTCTAATGTCGAAACCATTATGTTATTAAAAAAAAAACAATTTCCCCAACATAATTTACCAATTTAATCAACAAAAAACAGTGCTACAATAAGTACATATATTTGTAAATAAACAAATAACTCGGAAAATATTCCATAAACATTTATATACATTGTTCATAATACCTGTACAACATTTACAGTAAAATATATTAATACTTACAATAAAATAAGTCACGATTCGGTGGCAATGGAATTTCTTATCAAGTCTTGAGTGACCTTCATCACTTCTAAAGCACCTTTACTAATGAGCACATCTGCTAACTCTTTACCTAAACTATCGCATTTTTCTATAACGTCAAAAGGCATATTGGAATTCTCTATCAGTCCGCAGAAAATCTTCGCATCTTCCTGGAGCGTTTCGATTTCCGCTCTACTTCTAGTGTCTTCACAGTTCAAATTATCACTGCGCTCAGATATCCTCCTATTATGTTCTTCAACTAAATTCACCGGATGTTGACTTTCATCAGTTTTTATTTTTTTACTGCCATTTTCTTCAGTAGAAGTCAATCTGTGTTTTGAGCTTTTGCATATTTTTGTGAAGGCGTGTTCGAGGGAATGTTCTATTTGCGTGGTACCATCCAAACTCCACACAGCACCTGTAATGGATAACTTGTATTTGTCGTCTACTTTCTTCATTCTTGTTGATACCCCTACTGGAGCACTGCATCCTCCGCCTGAAATTGTGTTATTATTGTTTTAAGATACAATTAAAGATACATGTTGCTATTTACGATATAGCTACCATGGTATAGGGGAAACCCGTCCAAAACTGTACACCGAGGTAAAACCGTATAGTGTAGCTGAGACCGTTATTATTTGAAATTTCGCACGCATTTGCTGGTCACTACAAGTAGCCAATAAGATCAATCTGTCAACAGGCACAGGAGGGTTAACAAGTAATAAAGAAAACAATGTTTTTAGGTGTTTTCATCTTATTTTTAAGGGATTAAAAATTTTATTAATAGACATATTATGATATATATGTAAGTATAACAATAATTACGTTAAACTGTGTGTATTTATTTAATGATGTACAATGTTTTAACAATGAATGTGACTCTTTGAAGTAGTAGAATATGAATGTATAAGTTATGTTCTATTGGTCAAAACCGTACGGGGTAAAACCGGATAGTACACTGTTTTGACCCGATACCATATTAATTAATTATTTATGTTTTTCTTTATAGGTTTCTTTAAAATGCTACGAAATTATAATCGAAATACTACCGGACAAATTTGAAACCCAGAAATAATGAAAAAAACTCCGGGGCAAAATCGGAATTCGTTGAGGGTACGTTTTTGTTGATTTATTTTTGTTATCAAAAGGATTAAAGTATTATTTTTTGTTAATTCCTGTAGTCAACGAGAGTCTTAAAAAAACGTGTTGATTACTAATAAATAACTTTATATTTATTTCCAATTTATATAGGTATATCCTTAGCTATACGGTTTTGACCCGGTCTCCCCTACTTCGGTCAATATACCCAGTGTGTTTACTACTCTTAAAAAAACGTGAAAGCATTTTTATTTAAGATATTTAACAATATAGCACTGTGAATGCTATATGAGAGATTTTCCTCTTAATCGAAAGATTAAAAGATTTGCAAATATATTTGTTTCGGCTGTTCAGTGTGATTTGCTCAATGCTCCTATTAAATACGGATGTAGAAAGTAAACGAAAATAAATACATTTTTGTTTCTGGTAGTGTATAATATTGCTTAAATTATTTATGAAAAAAAAAAACACATATTTTACGCTCGTTGTCACGTGACCACAAACAGCGTGTGGCATCACGGTCATAGAGAAATCAACCTTACGCATACATAGAACGATATCAGTTTCAGAGGGCCGTGACGTTATAGCGAAACCATGACAGAAGTGGCGTTTTCGCGGAAGATTTTGAAAGAAAAAAAATATTTTTAGAATGTAAATTATTATATGAAAGATCCTTTTTTAAATACATTTCATGTTTGTCTACACCCCTATTGTAGTGACCCAACCTAATACAATGGGCGACTTAAGCTTTAGAACACCGCACTAAGATTTCTGGTAGTCTGGTAGCAAAGCGATCGCCTCTCTAGCCATAGCTAAGTATTATAAATAGGTATTATTGATTTTATCAATGCATATGTTTATATTCTTTTATAATTAAATGTTTTTTTTATTACTTATATACTGAATCAAACATTTCGGCGGTTTTACCTAAAGTGTAAAACGGGAACCCTAGTACTAAAACTTCACTGTCTGTCGCTTACCAGGCTGCATTTCATGAACCGGGAAAATTTGACAATTGAAATTATTTGAAATTTCATGCATTTCTGCTGCCGCTATAACAACATATACTAAAAATCAGAAAAATATATATTTAACAAAAAACATGTTTTTACCTTTTTTATTACAATTGGCCGGGTTTTTTATAGTTATCCTGTAATATAAATGTAAACTGTATAATTTACCTAGAGTCTTGAGGAAGCTTCTTTCGGTTAGCACCCTGCAGTAAGTCTCCGGGTGATTGAACGGTGCGAGCATCGACAACACCTCATAGTTGTCGACGCAACACTCTACAGCTAGCGCGCCTTGTCCTACCGCGTATTTCATCTCTGCACACGGCAATATCTGGTGGCCAATAATGGTAATCTCATCATGAGTCTATTAATGTCCCCGCCGCTGGGGCAGATACCTTGCATAACCAACCACGAAGGCCAATCCTACTAATGTTTACGTATAACGCATCTCAATAGAATCTCAACTATACAGGTATATACAATGCAGGTATTGTACGAGGAAAGTTCGCAGAATGAGGGGTATGGAGGGAGGAAAGGTGACGACTTTTTACTACCTGCACTAGTTGTGACACTCATTAAGAGTATAAATAAGAAGTTTCAAAAAAAAAAGGTCATAATTACCTGAGCTACACATCAATCAACAAGTCAATCCGGACAAAAATTTGCAACATGGAGAAAATTGAGTTTCAAGAGAAATTGAGTTTACCAAACAAAAAAAAGCCTCACCAGACTATTTTGGAAGAGATGTCTTCTGTTTACGGGGACTATTGCCCTGGTAAAACAATGGTTCACAATTGGCACAACCTGTTTAAGCAAGGCAGGGATTCGATTGAAGATGATCCGAGGCCAGGGCAGCCTGTCGAGGCAACCTCGGCAGAAAACGTCGAAAACCTTGAAAAAATCATATTGAAAGATGCCCGTTTAAAGAAGAAACAGCTTACAGAAATGATTGGAGTATCAGCTACAACCATTTTGAACATCTTACACGATCATCTTGGCATGTCGAAGGTGTGTGCAAGATGGGTGTCGTGAATGCTCACGCCACACCAGAAGCAGCGGCGAGTTGAGTGCTGTCGCGAGTTTTTAGCACTCTGTGGTGAACAAAAGGATGAAGTTTTGAACCGAATTGTGACTGGAGATAAAACTTGGGTTCATCATTATGAGCCTGAGTCCAAACAAGACTCTATGCAGTGGCACAAAAAGCTCACACCAAGTAATTCAACGTGTCTCCTTCGGCTGGAAAACTCATGGCGGCTACTGTTTTCTGGGATTCAGAGGGAATCCTCCTTATTGATTATAAAGAAAAGGGTGTTTCTATCACTGGAGAGTACTACGTTGCACTATTAGAACCTCTGCGAGATGCTGTGAGAGAAAAATACGGGGAAAATTGACTAAAGGGGTGCTTCTTTTGCACGACAATGCACCCGTGCACAAGGCGCAAGTTGCGATGGCTGCTGTTCAAAGAGTGGGTTTCGAAATCTTGGAACATACTCCCTATAGCCCTGATTTAGCCCCAGATGATTATTATCTGTCCCCAAAAATTAAAAAAGAGGTTTGAGGGAAGAAATTTTCCAGGGATGAAGAAGTGAAGAGCGCAATTTCGGCCTATTTTGACGACAAAGAGAAATTATTATTTTTCGAAGGTATTAATAAATTAATTGATAGGTCTAACAAATGTATTAGAGTTAAGGGGGAATACATTGAGAAGGAAAAATAATTTTGTGTTTTATTTCTTACTTTTTACCCTCCATTCCGCGAACTTTTTGACCAACCCTCGTACCATTGTACTATCTACTTAAAGTCCAATATTATTAGTGCAATGTCTTCTTTACACATCAATTGTATCGATGGTAATGGTATTGTGACGAGACCATCGTCCGAGCTGACGATATTTAAGTATCGTGTCTCTGTCGTTATCGTCACAGTGTGAAAACGCTCAATAATGGTTCTGATGAAGGAAAGACACAAAAGCACTTTTTTCTTACAAAACATATGAGTAAATAAGACAATTTTCAATCAAAATCACCTTACGGGCAATCCAAACGACTAACCTTAGATATCCTATGTGCCCACCCCATCCTGTGCAAGCCTGCGCTGGCCAGTAACAGCGCCGAATATTGTCCATCCTCTGCGTCTAACTTCCTGAGACGTGTGTTCAGATTTCCTCTCACGTCCACCACCGACAAGTGAGGGTACGACCCACGGAGCTGAGCGGTGCGTCGAAGTGAAGATGTACCTAAAATATGACCACTTATCTTCAAAGTACTTGAAAAAAAATGTAAAGTATCTGACTGGAATAGTAAAACCCATTTTTCAACGATGGGAAATTCGTAATTAAAACTCTATACTTAATCGACGAAAATTCATACAATTTGGGCTCGTTTGATTAGTGACGCTTGACAGGAAGTTGGATCCGAGATAATATCCAGGGGCGATGCTATAGGAACTATGTAATTAAGTAGCCCGACCATGTTGACTTAGAGATCTTTTGATTTGTCTATCGAGATATCATTTCTCAACCTTTGCTAACCGAGCGACTGCTCTGATCACTGAGCTACCAGAGACCCAACAGGACTGACGATTTGAAGAATTCTTCGAGCACTTTTACTTTTCGCCTGGCGAGCGCATTTTTGAGCAATATTCAGGCAATCCAAACGTACTTACAATTAGAAAAAGTTAAATTATTATCGTTTTTATACACTGCGTATCTCGGGGGATCTCGCTCTTGCACATCGCATTCATATCGGGCGGACGACACTCAATTACTAACAAAGCTAGGAAGGTGGATCGTTTGAACATTGATGAAAATACGCTCGGTAATATGAGTCCCTAAATTGGTAATACGCTGGCAACTTTGTTTAAATAACACCCGCGTGACGTCATATGAAGATAGAAAGTAAAGATAGCACAAAAGTCAGTGATAAATTATTAATTAATTAATGAAATATTTATGAATAATCCCCAAAATATTATTATAATAATTTAATACTTTTTAGTTTGTTAATTTATTGCATAAATTTTTAGAAAATTATCAATTTATATGTAACTACCCTCCAATTCGCATTGAGCCAGCGTGGAGGGTCATGGCCCATCCTCCTTAACCATCCATAAGGAAGGTCTGAGCCCCTGCAGTGGGGACGTAAAAGGGCTGGTGGTGGTGATATGTAACTATTGAGGTATATGGAATAAAAAATAAGACAACATTTTCTTTGTATCTTACTTAAAAATTCGTCAGTGCTGTTAGGTCCTGGGTAGCTCAGTGGTTAGAGCAGTCGCCCGGATTGCGGAAGGTTGTGGGTTCGAGTTCCATATAAGAGTGGATCTTGGGGCTGGTGGATTTATAAAGCATTTTTCATTAAGAATATTCTTAATACAAAATGCTTAAAAAATCCACTTGGTCACCCTGAAATGTGATCCCATTACCTTTCGCAATCCGGGCGACTGCTCTACCCGCTGACCTACCCAGGACCTAACAGGACTGACGAATATTTCAAGCACTTGTTACCCTTCGCTACTACAGAGCGTATTCTCATCAATGTTAGGGCATCCACACAAACAGCCGAAATAAATATTATTACACTTATTGATGGATATATTATATTGATGGATTATTTCATCCTAAATTAAATCCTAAGATATGATAAACCTAGTTGAAGCAGTTGCATCGCTCGATACCGATTAAGGCTGTCACAGATCACGAGTGCATTTTGTCGCTCTAATAGTTCAGGGTATTACGTCCTTATCTCTATGAACGTTCATAAAAAGTATGATAGCTAATAATAGCGATAAAAATGTACTTATATCAATCTGACTTTTGCTATCACCAGCCTGTAAATGTGTAGTGCGGATTGTTATGTGTAAACAACCAGTCCAATAGTGGCCTTGTGTAAATGAAGGCAATCCTCAAGTCAGTATAATGTAATAGACCGGTTTATAATTTTTACTGGACTGGCTTAGTAGATTGTATCGGCTATTATAAATAATAAAATAAAAATGCATTTCTTTATTTTATTATTATTGTTAAGTAATTGTATGATTGTACCCCACTCAGGTGAAGGCCTCTTCATTTTCCCAGCGCTCATATGGCCTGTCTTTCGTTTGCCTGGCAGTGCGTGGCCACGAGGTTACAGTTTTTGTCCATCTTTGATCTTTGGGTCGCGCTACATGTCCAGCCCACCTCTATTTTAATTTTTGTGCATGAGTGAGACCATCTATTGTTTTAATATCTGTATGCCTTGTTTTATATTCATCATACTATGTTTCATTGCTCTTTGACAGGTGATTATTTTATTTTTGTTTTATTGGTGAATTTCCAGGACGCGTGATACCATAACTTTCTTTTTTAACTTTATAGGTATTTCACTCATTAATATTTACTTTAAGCTTCAGTATTTAGCCCAACTTTTGACCCTCCTCTCTATTAACTGCTTGTTGCTGCTTCTGTTAAATCCAATTTGTCAACCTAACTAAGTATATTATTCTACGTTTTCTATTATTTTGTCATCTATTTTTAGGTTGGGTTTTATTTTGTTTTTGTGTATCGGTTATAAGCTTCGTGTAAGCGGACCATTAATGACGTGCCTTCCAAGCAAGGAGCTAAATTATACCACTCGTCTACGATCTGCGTGGCCGAGTGGTTCAAACGCTGGTTGCAAGGTGTCGCCATCTCCGAGGTTCCAGGTTCGAATCCCAGTCTGGTCAATGTAGAAAATTAACGTCTATATTGTCTCGAGTCTGAATACAGAAGGCTTTAGCTGCTCATTTTGGAATTTGATCAATGTACGTGATATTGTACATTAAATAAATACTTTTCATTTATTCATTACAATATTTGTCGCAAACCGATTTCACTAATCATTGCAATCTACCAGACCAAATCAATGAGTTTGCTAATAGATTAAGATATGCAGTGCATATAACAAGATACATTGCGTGTCTTATCATTGTTTTACATGTATAAATTGTAATTAATACAGACGAATCATTAGGATATCCTACATTTCTATACACAAATATGCCATGGTTAAGATACTAAGTAAGTTGTTATAATCAATAGTCTTAGGAAATCCGTTTTCATTCATTCATGATGAAATGTCGGCACACATTGGGTCGCATGAATAAATTCCAAAGTAGACTGAGAACATTAAATTTTGTCTTGATCGTCGTTCGATTTAGGCTTGCAGTGATAATTTTCGGAATTGATTGGCGTTTTGAACGATGATGTTTGGTTGTACTTTATAGTCAGATCGTTTAGTGTTAAAAAGTCGACGCTCTGTGACTCGTCGGTTGTTACTCTTTTTAATTAATGGCGTTGCCCTTATGGATTTCGGCAGAGGTATTTATTTATCGAGCTCGTACGCTCATATTTGAAATTTTATTTTAACTCTCTTCCCCTTATGTCATGTCCTGTTATCGTGTCACCTTTAGTTTGCTGTTATACCTTTTAATGCTAAGATTCTTTCTAGGTTTTTAGGTTCGAAGAGAAAGGATTTCAGCGGGGTATTTTCTAATTTGGACCCTAGGGAATGTTGTACAAGCTGTTGTGACTCGCGAGATCGTATAAGAATCGTGTTAGAGACAGCGCTAATGCAAACGAGGCGAATTCAAGAAGGAACTACACCTGTGACTTTTGTTTTACTATGGATATGTTGAGAATTATCGTTTTCATTATAATGGGTGTTACTTTCCACAGGTAATGAGATATCGAGTCAAATATGAAAATTTTGCCTTAACAGAATGTAACATAATTACGTCATACCAATGCCGGCTCATTAAAACTTCGCATCCTACGTTTATTGTTTTTACATTGGAACGACGCCCATAAAAAAGTCACACGTTTTCTTTATCTTAGAAGTATCATGTAGTTTTTACAATTTCAGTGAGTACTTTATTTTTTTATTCACCATTGATTTGAAATTAGTGTTAGGTGCCATGTTAACGATATTTCGTGATTTACAATACCGGCGCAGGCGCAACGTATCCATCGTATCGCGGTCAATAGGAAGCGGCTATTAACGCACAACCAAACGAATTCCCATTAAGGCCGACAATTCACGAGCGGTTCTCCTCCTGCAACGCACCTGACGACAATCTATTTCAAAATAACCTGATAGATCCTTCAAACTACAACTATGGCGATATAATATTAAACATTGGTAATTTTATTAGAACGTAGAAGAGCGATCGCTGGCGGATACGTGTTGGGTAATTAACAAAAAAGTGCCGTGGAGGTGTTAGATATGGAATAAAAAGTATTATCCGGTATTACAGCGATAAACAGGCTTCACATATTCAGTTCAAAATGTTCAATTCCCAAAATGTTTTAGTTATACTTATAGTATGTGGCGCGGCGTTTACCCGCTGCGTCAGAACCGCCCGTGTAGTATCAACTGTACTTACCTATGACCGATCCGGCGGGCAGCGAAGAGAGCGTCGTATCCTTCAGCCCATCCCTTAGCACCAACGCATCTCTTGGATCTTCTCTGAAACAATACGAACAAGGCCACTTACGCTTATAACTCTCATAATCGTTTTAATAATCCTAAATTCTGGATATATTAATGTGATAATGGCATCTCAATGACGTTTCCATTCATTTCATCTAGCTGGGACCAATCATTATTAGGGGGGTGGAGTCTTCAAAAATAAATCGTGACAGATATTTTCACTTATTTTATGATAACAATAACTTTGTCCAGAAAGGTGTTATTAAAACTCTACTGATGTTAACATTGATAATAGAATTGATGCCCTGCAGATTATATTCATTAGTATTATATTAAATAGGTGTTCAGTTACACTTTCTGGAATCTGTTCTTATTTTTCTAATTTCTAATAAATGTTTGGAGATTGGCAGTTGAATTGTGAATGTATGCTACTTTATGATAACTTGTTATTTATTATTATTACATACTTGTGTAAATTGAGCATAATTTATATATGTAATTATTTATTATTAACAAAATCCTGATAATTTAAATCTATCATTGAAGTGGTTCTAGATTTCAATTTTTTTGTCATTACTCATGATAATACAAAAATATAAGAAATGAATAACCTTGAAATAAATGTACACTCAATGCTCTAAACATAATATGTTAATGAACAGCTGAAATAACACTGTACTGAATAGAAAAAATAATATTATGTATCATTACACACTAACAACAATTGTCTTTGCATCTGGCACAAATCAAACATATCTTCAACAAACCATAATATTATTTATATGTAATTTTCATTAAGCCTCATTTGGGTTTATTAAGATTAAGGGTCTTTTTTATTATATTGAGGAAATGAGTTAGGCGCTGTTCACTCTAGGTAGAAGAAACGTTGATAGAAGTTTAAAAGGAAATGTGAATTTTCTAGAGGTTTAATAAAATATTGATTTTAAGTTTAAAAAAGAAGTTGATTTAAATACAATTTAAAAACAAATAACTATGTCTATTTGAAGTTTCAAAATGAATATTGATTAATTTTAATAGCGATGATGTCTAATTTTTGTTTGTTTGTCCGTCAGGTAGAGTGTTAAAAAATATTAAACACGTATTGTTTTATTTTTTTCGTAATCATAAAATTACGGCGTTACATTGAGTTGAAATTTCGCATGACGTCACGTTTGGGTACGTTTTCTACTCAACTGTGACGTAGCGAGCCCCCACTCCTCAACTTTAATGCCTGTTATCTAAGCTATTTCTTGTTAAATTGAAGTAAAAAAAAATACGTATCTAATATTTTTCTATTATCTGACTGACGGACTAAATAGAATTGCATTTTTGTACCCAGTCGTCATCCCTATTGCTTCTTGCACAGATGTACAAGACGCAACACTTTTATTCATGGGGTGCGTCACTTAATCGGGCCTAAACCAATATAACTTTTTTCTAAATGGCAACAATAGGATACTGGACTTCGTATTCTGTAATTCGAATGCTGTTGCCGAAACCCCTTTCTTCTCTTTTGACCGGGATACTGTCAACAATTGTAGGTATTACAATTTTGTATGAAACAGTCGATAAGTTAACTTAAAGTATACTTAACTAATCCACTCCACGAAGTAATGGCACTGAATAGTATTACACCATAAATAAGAACGTAATTAGAGGTGATTTGTTAAGATAGATAATATTCTACCTATCTAATCGAATGCAGCCTGCATGTGTGCCTGCTTGCCTGTTGTCATTGGAGGTTATAAATCATTGAAATACCATCCGGTGTACCCCAAGGATCACACGTTGGCCCTTTATTTTATTGTGCGTATAACCACGATATCGGTCAATGTCTTGAAACAGCTCATCATTTGCTTTATGCCGATGACAAAAAGGAATTTATGAAGGTATTTTCAATTAATTATTCATCCCCTAATTTACCTCTTTAGGGGTCGAATTTCGTAAAATCCCGTGTTAGTGAGCACCTACGTTCCAAAAAGAACCCGCATGAAAAATTTGAAACTCCTAGCACTTCTTAACGAAGTTTCATACAAACTTTCATCCCCTAATTTACCCCCTCAGGGGGTTGAATTTCATACAATGGTTGTTGTGCCTCACTCGACATAGATCTACAATTAAGTAGATCATTTTATGGTTTTATCTTTTATAGTTTAGGTAGCGTATGCAAAATAAGTAACTTTTCTGGTTGATTTTTTCCATCTTACGGTACTTCATTTTTTTTTTCAAAATAAAATATAGCCTATGTTACTCATGGATAAAGTAGCTTTCGAATGGTGAAAGAATTTTTAAAATAGGTCCAGTAGTTTTTGAACATATTTATTACAAACATACAAACAAAGTTTTCCTCTTTATTATATTAGTGTAGATAAATGCAATAATATAACAGTAAATATTAGCAAGTGCCAATGCATTAAATTTTGCCATAAAAAGAAAACAATAGTCTTTAATTATAATTTTAATGGAGAAGGCAACATGCGAGTGGAAGTGGTAAGAGATTTGGGTGTTCTGTTAGACTTTAAAATGACATTTACCAATCACGACTGAGGTGAATAGAGTATATTGTAACCTAGGATTTATAATCAGGATATGTAAACCTTTTAGAAATGTCCCATTTACTTTGCATACTGTTGTAGTATTCTTGAATATTGTAGTTCCGTACGGTCACCACAGTACTTTAAATACATAGTTGATATACAATATAAAGAAAGAATGTATGGCATATTGTGCGGTAACTTAAACAGCAACTTAAACAGCCCTAATCTTCTTGCTAGTATTACTTTCTGCATTCCAAAATATTGTATTGGAAGACTCCTCTGCTCAGTATACTCAAACACCGAACTGACTACAGTAGAAATGCTGTCAGGAAAAAAATTTTGTAAACAAAGAAATTACCATTATATTATTACTGTCCCTTTTACCTGACAAGCAACAGGATGTATTACCAAGATTTGTGATCTGAGCATAAAGATTAAAGACAATATAAGTTAAAATCAATGCTCTGTCAATGAGACAGGATAGTATTGGATATTGAAAACTATTTAAAATTAATAACTCAGTTTTTGGCAAAGCCCTCAACTACAAAGGGATGCAAATATTTATCAATAATGTTATTGCCAATTTTTCAAAATACTTTAAAATGAAAGTATCCAAGTATATGTTCATATACAATTTATTTTTCTCAAAAATCATACAAATCAAATAATTTTTGTTTTTAAATTTTCTATTTAAATTTAGCTCCAAAATAACCATCCTATAAAGTCCACCATATTGATGTGCTTAAACACAAATATGAAGGAAGTGATAGTGAAATAAATAATGGATTTCTATTGGTTAGGTACTCAATAATCAATAAAATTTGTGTTTCCAACAAAAAATAAATCCAAAATTTTTGGTTTTTATTACATATGGTGAAGAATATGAATATTTTATTACATACCTCTCAAAAACTGCTCCTATAGTGAGTTTTTCAGGCAATGTAGTAGGAAGGTCTTTTAATGAGTGCACTACAAAGTCCACAGTATTGTTCCTCAGAGCATCTTCTAAATCTTTTGTAAACAATGACTTTTCACCAATTTTTGGGAGCGACACATTTAGTATCCTATCCCCAAGTGTAGTCATAGTAACTGAAAAGAGGCTTAGTTATAAATGTATCTTTTTTTTATTACATATATTCTGTGTGATTTTGAAAATCATATAGTTATAGCTTTGTACAGACCCTTTAATTCCACAACAACAGACTTGCATTATAATTAACAAAGAATTTGATTAACTTACCTATAGTAAACTCTTTTTCTGGATAAACAGTTTTTAATAAGTCAATGACATGGTTTGTCTGTATAAGAGCAAGCTGAAAAATTAAGTATATTATTTATTTGTTAAATTTTAACTGTGATGAGTCTAAGAGTGCCCACTTATACTTAATATTATATAAGTGTGCACTTTTAGATTGATCTAAGACATGAAATTGAGAAATAAAATTTTATTAAAATTAATACCTTTATTAAAAAGTGGCATGTGAACTTCAAAATATATAGGAGCAAACTTTTAATTTTCAATTCATTCGAATAAAAAACTTAATAAAAGTTTTAATTAACTTTACCTCGCTTTTCCTTGAGCCTACTCGAATAACGTCTTTCGGTTCTTTTTCCATTTTATTTTAAATAACTTTCACAAATCAAAGTTTGATCTTCAATTACAGGTTAAGTCATGAGAAATTTAGGTAGTTTGTTACTAACGATTTGAATGAATAAAATATGCTTAAATTTTGTCACCAACACTGTGATGGACAAAACTTTAGGCACATTTATTTGCTAATTTTAAATTAAACTAAACCCTAACCCGAAAGATAACAGCGCATCAAAAAAACAAAGAGTAATATCAAGAAAACACTAAGTGCAAAGAGTACTTTTATAATATGGAAAACTAAGTGACTGATATAGGGATACGCGAAAAGTATCGATATCCTGAGGGTAGAGATACAATGGTTATTTCGGAAACCCGGTATAAATCGATATATTGACGCTTAAAAATATCGATACACATCGGTATTGAAGAAACAGTGAAACGATATATCGATATCGAAAATAACTGAGTTTTTGCTTTGAAATTTGTAGTAGTTTTAATTAATATAATTTGTACTGAATTTCAAAATGAAGTGTTATTCTCAATTTAATTGCAATCTATTTGAAGTACATAACAATAAAACATTTTTTCAATTGTAAGCAGAAGGCCTTTTTTAAAAGCAGCACGCAAAGAATGACAATCTCGAGGAATGCTTTGTCTACCCTTAATGTCACGTTTCTCGGGTCAAAAGTGAGAAATCGTATGGGCGCACATTGGGAATGGTGACATTTGGGTGTAAACAAAACTTTCTCGAGTTCTTCATGCTACGCGTGCATGATTAAACATTACATGAACTAGTCTTAGTATTCAGATAGTAGAGGGCCGATTTTTTTTGACGTGGATACGTCTATGTTTTCGTTCTACAGGGGGTCATTCTGTGAGCAGGAGTATATGCACTAACGCCATCTGTTGGCGTATAAGTGAACTATGCTTGCTCTGCAGGGGGAGGGGCATTCTGTCAGCAGGAGTATATGCACTAACGCCATCTGCTGGCGCTAGTGAATACTTTTTTCATTCAACAAATGAACGCAACGAATATTTATTGACGTGGATACGTCTATGTTTTCGTTCTACAGGGGGGTCATTCTGTGAGCAGGAGCTTATGCACTAACGCCATCTATTGGCGTATAAGTGAACTATGCTTGCTCTGCAGGGGGAGGGGCATTCTGTCAGCAGGAGTATATACACTAACGCCATCTGTTGGCGCTAGTGAATACTTTTTTCATTCAACAAATGAACGCAACGAATATTTATTTATTTAGTGTTTAGTGTCTTCAATTTGTTTTTTTTTTTATCAATTACTCATATATCCATTCATACATAGACGTATCCACGCATAAAATATGGCTGTATCAATGATACAGCCAACCAGTTTTTTAATAGTTTATGATTTTTATGATTAAACGTAATTTATTTTAATAAGGTTTTTACAAACAAGATATCATATATTATGTGCGGTATTGTCAATAAATTATGGAAATAATTATTTTACATAAATAACGTGTATTATTGATATATAATAAACTGGTGATGAGATGTTGAATCCAGAATTAAAATATTCAAATAATTGAACTTAAATTAAAATTTCTACACAAGAAATCGAAACCAGATTACAATCTTTGTAAAATACATCAAAAAGATTCCTAGAAGTACAAGAACAAATCGAACTACATTCAAGCGGTGACTTAATAGAAAGACAAACCAAGCAAAACTACGAAATAGAAGAAATGTACATTCAAATTAAAACGAACCTTTTACAATGAGGAAGTATTTAAAAAAAAATCTATATTTTTTTTAGAAACTACACAAATTTATTTCACTAGATGGCAGCACAAATTGTAAGAACGTATTATAGTTGTACACAAATTCATGAACACACAAGGCCAACTAAAAGCTATCAACCATCAAAATTAAATTTTCAACCATTATATGGAAAAGAAACATTTCGCAAATTTAATAGGAGATAATCCGAATACTTACTTCTTAATAATATCTCAGATCCTTCAACCAAAACGTACATTTTACTATCATAATTTCATGAACGGATTTCCAATTTATGCTCACCCGAAGATCTATTTCAGAAAAATTTTAAAGAACTCACTGCAGTATAAATTGGACGAATTTCTTGACTCTTAAACAGAGCCTGTGGGCTACACAACGCAAATTGTGTGATGCTCTTTGGTTTATACCGAAGCCTGTGATCTATAGTTTTGGAAAGTATCTCTAGCTGCTTGTTTACTATAACGGAATAATGCCATAACTAAAAAAAAATTACAATATTTGAATTATTTTTAAACGGAATGATATCAGGAATGCCCAACTAAACACTACTCATACTGTGAGAATAGATTACGTAAAAATGTATTTAAGTGTATACTTGCATTTTGTAATTATCTGGGGGCACCAAAGTGCCCCCCTGAGTCGAGAAAAAAATAAAAAGGGTACGTACGTACAATCGTTTTCTCGAAGCCATTCGGGCCATTATTGACCCCTGCAACTGCTATTTCAAAATTTTGAGAAAAAAAAAATGGTTTTCTATAATATAAATAAAAACAATGCAGATTTTTAACAAAGTCGATTTTTATTCAGCTACTCGAAATACACAGCAAAACATATACGGAAACAGACATAAAGGAGACACTATCAGCAATCATCTAAATGCAAAATGTAGATAAATCCTTTCAATCGCATATGGCCTAAAACCAAGGCCACACATAATAAAGAACTTGTGATGATTACAGAAACACTTATTAATCAATGCAATTTTGTAAATACATTCACAAATATTTGAATCACAGTTTCATTGTAGCATTAATTCAATTATGATCATTCAATGTCAATATTTTGAATGGCATTTCAATATTATTTTAAATCAGGGGGATCAAGCCCCTTAAGCCAGCACTCAAGAATCAGATTTCTATGTAAGACTTCTTCCAACAGAATGGTCAAAATGAGGACAGGTTGTTACTCAATAGTGCCGAGGCCAGATCTCTTCATGGTACGACTGTTTAACAAGATGCAGATTTCAAGCAATTTATGTTGAAAAACAAAATAGTTCTACATTTAAGAAATTCACCCAGTGACTGAATTGAATTGTCTAGGAATAGAATATTATAATTTTATATAATCACACATGTGTTTTTTTAGGTATGTAACTATAATAATATCAATAGATGTTTGACCAACTGAGTAATGCTTCGAGTGAGCTTCTTAACTACTAAATAAAAACCATGTATTATTTGAAACACTGTCCTCTTTCTATCATGGAGGTGAAAGACAGGCAATTTTTATAGTTATGGAGTGTCATATGCTAGCAAACTATAAAAAATTATTTAAAAAAGTATTTTATTACCCATTATAAGTATCAGAGGTGGCATACACAACACGTCTAGTCTTAAAATAAAGTTTGTCAAGAATTATAAGTCAGAATTAGAGTTATGTTACTTAGGTTTGCGACGACTGCTTCTCAGTCTCCTTCTGTTATTGGGGACTACAAAAGAAGATCTTGTTTTTGTTCCTGAAATAGTAGAAATTATATCAATCAACTATTATAGGATAGGCAAACACCGTGTTATAGATGTAAATATGATAAATAGAAAATATTTGAGTGTCTGTTTGTTTGCAACAAATAGGCTCTGAAACTAATTTAAAAATTCTTTCACCTACAGGAAGCTACATGATATGCAGTGAACACAGGCTATATTTTATCCTGAAAAATAGCAAATAAAGGGATGAATGTAATTTTGTATGGATAATTAAAACGATACCATAGTAACCATTGTTTACTATTCATGGTAATTGATAACCAAATAAACAGTTCACTATGGACCATGCGGGCGAAGTCGCTGGCGAAAAGCTAGTAATAAAATAATTGAATTAAAATAAGCTCTGAAAGTACAAAGATAGATTTTTTAAATCGTTCACCTACGGGAATCTGCATCATACGCGGGTGATATAGACTATAATTTACGTAGGCGGAGACGTGGGAAAAACACTACTTTAAAAACCTATATATGGTTTGAAACAATTGGATAATTTTGTGGACAAAGAAAAAAAATTTTTTTGGCACTTACTTGGTTTTACTGGTGATTTGATTTCTTCAATGATTTGAACAGTTTTCTTTTCAGTACTTTTAACATTCTTGCGTTTGGGCTTTTGATTATTTCTTGATTCTAATTCTGTATCAGATTTCTCAATGCTACTCTCACTAGATAATGTTTTTCTTGTGGTCCTAGTTTTTGGGGCAGTATTATTGATAACCTTTTTACTGGATCTTGTATATCTTTTTGGTGAATCAACTTCTTTTTTAACACAACTTCGTTTTGCTGTTTCTAGCTTTTCTTTCGCCTCTCTTTTTTGTTTCATTTTGTAAACTTTGATCATCGCAGGTGTATATCCTTCTAAACCTTGAAAGTTTTCTTCTGGCTCTTTGGTACTCTTACCAGATGCCTTTTTTTTAAAAGATGCCATTACTTCCTTCATAGCATATGTTGGGTTAAGTTCTTGTAGATAATCTTTCTGCATCAATGGTGACTGGTAATTATCTATGTTGTGGTCCGAGGAAGCATTTGATAGTTTACGGATTCTGTATTTACATGTTGATTCATCATCTTCACTTACTGTGGCATTACGCTCTTTTCTTATAATGTGTTCTGGGTTACCAGCTAAAATTTCTGCCCAAGTAAACTGCCTCGCAGAACCCATGAAATTTCCAAACTTGCCAATGCTGTTTCTGTGCTTTTTAAGCCCCCTGCGCTTTTGTATTGTCCTCTTTTTGGATCTTAAATTTTTGGGTGACAGTTTTTTTCCAAATATTTCATGTGGCATTAGAGACTTTTTGAGTCTTGCAATAAGATCTGCATCGGATATAAAGAAGTTCCTTGACGTACATGGTTTACGTATTCCTTCACTAGATGAATTTAAAGTTTGTCTCAGTAACTCTAATTTTAAGTCATTTTCAAGGGAGTACATATTTTCTCTTTCATAACTCTTTTTGACTCCATTTCTGGCTATGAAGTCTCGTGATGTATTTTTCTTTATAAACCTTTTGGGATATAATACCTTATTACGAGTCATTGATGGCATGGAGATCTCAGCAAAGTTCAGTGATATATCTTTATCATAACCGTTTTTCAGCAATTCACTTTTAAAGAGACTTCTACAGTAATCATAATCTGGTTTTTCAGTGAAATCAAGGCTAGTGACATACTGCAAATATTTTTCCATAAATGCAGGATAAAATTCAGTTTTGAAACAGGTTTTCAACAACAGTTTTATATCACTCATAAAGTTTTTCTTTAATGCATGAACTAAATCAGGTTCAGATAAAACTGCTGTTTTCCATGGTAACACACCAGTTAGCCAATCAAGAAGGTTATACCCCAGAGTTTCTAAGTCAGATCTTCGGGAGTGTGCTCCAATGTGTGAATCTCTGGAGCTGTACTCCAATGTACCATCATGAGCTTTACGTGCATCCATGCCAAATTCTTTATGTATACCATTAGCATCCAGAAATTTTGAAGCTAACCCATAATCTAGTAAATAAATTTGACCATTGGATTGTGATAATATAGCTTCTGTGTACAATTCGTTCGAGTTTAAATTTGTATCTAAACATTTATTATTATTTGATTCCTCACAAAATTCTTCTGATGATCTAATGAGATTATTACCAAAGTCATCAATGAGTTTTTGATATGATTGATCAGAACATACTGAGCTATTGAAATCTTCATAGTTTACATAATTTGACAGTTGTCTCAAATTGAAAGCATGATGCCTGTGTAAAGTCCTACTGTCTCTGTCTGAAAGGATTTTCCTCAATCTCTTTTTTACACTGGCTAGTCTTTTTTCATTTTCAGTAGAATTTGGAGAGCAAGTGCTTTTATAATCTTTCACTATGTAATCTTCATCATCATAATATGACACTCTAGCTTTACTACTTTTAACCCTTCTTTGTTTTCCAGCTAATACCGTCACTTCTTTAGTTTCTTTTTGGAATGAATGTGTTTGTTTCATAGTGAGTCCATTGTTAAGTTTCATTCCGTCAAATCCAAGCATAAGGTTTGAGCTTTTAATATCTGAATGGGTGTATCCCTGATTATGTAAGTATTCCAAAACATCAAGTATTTGAATAGCTAATACTAAAACATTTTTTAAATCCAAAACTTTAGTTCTAGCAATGATTTTCTGCAAATCAATATCAAAGCGTGGTAGGACTAGGAATCTGTATTTAATTCCAGATGTGTCATCAGTAAAGGACCCACTGGCAATGTAGATTGGCATACCCAGACGTTTTTGTTTCATTTGTTGCCGCCAGAGTTTTACTGCAACATGTAAAACACTTTTAGTTAACCCTCTATTGCATACAGAGCCATTTTTGGCTGCTAAACTTTAGTAATTTTTTTCTACCCTAATTATAAACAAAAATTTTAAAATTTATCACAGTAATATTAGGGAGTTCAAACTCAAACGAAACGCAATTTTTATTGTCTATGGCCAAAGTCGTATGTCATTATACCCTCACTTTTTTCCGGTGCGTACGCAAAGTCGTTCTTAGTGAAATTTACTGCAAATTTATTAGTGAAAATTAAATAGAAAAGGTAAGAATATTGATATTCAAAAATATAAATAATGTTCTACAAAGCCTCTGTTTTTGATGCCTCTTACACTTTATTCAAAATATTTGTTCTTTATACTTAATTTTCATTATTTTCTACGGGAGCCATTTTTGGCTTCGTATGCATTCAGAGATGCATTTTTTTAACGTAAACAACGAAAAATCTCTGCAAAAGTGCAAGAGCTACCTCTAAATTCAGTACGTTCAGACAAAATTGACCATTTTCCGATTCATCAAAGGACTCGTCAATTATGTCAGAATGATTGTTCTTTGCGTTCCCATATAAAATGTAAGAAATGTAATGTTTTTCTATGCTTGAATGAGAAAAGAAACTGTTTTAGAGAATTTCACCTTGTATGATGTTTATTTGTCGTGCATCGGAAGCCAAAAATGGCTTCTGTTTTTTTTTTTCCAAAATAATAAACTTATTTTTCTTTTCACTTTATATTTTGTCTTATAAGCCATAATAAAGCACATTAAAACATAAAAATATTTTTTTTCTATTAAATTTAATAATTCATGCAATAGAGGGTTAACAAATATTGAAGTATTGTAGGTAAATTCTGAAAATTGAATTTATGTTCCCAACAAATATCTATTAAACAAATTATGTTGTTATTTCTAAGGAAAAATTATGAAAAGATCTGAACTAGCTAATTAACTGTATTAAATGTTGGGAGATTTTTTTCCAAATAAGTAACACCCCTCACTTTGAGGTAGGACTCTTGGAAACTCTGGCAACATGTAATACTGTAACTCATCTGGATTGTTTTCATGAGTAAAAGTGTTACATATCTGAATGTAACTTGTTGGGTTCATACATACAATAATTTTTGTTAGACTCTTTTAACAAAATTTCTACCTTTAGATGCTTGTGCAGAGCGTATCAAACAATGAATTTCAACAAACAGAGGGCCATTTGTGTGTGGTTCTATTTTCACGACATATCTTGCATTCAACTTTGTAACTTCTTTGTCAACTTCATCTGAAGCAAGATAAATACGCCCAAAGCTGCCTCTTCCTTTGGAAAACAAGTTATTTCAAGTTAACAGATTGTACAGAAGATTGTATCATCACAAAAATAATTCCAGATGTAAATCAATATCTTTTTTTATTTCTTCATATTGTGGACTTTCACTTTTCAATTTAAAGCTATGTTATTGTAGTTGTTACGAATTTGAAGGACGCATTTTAAAGTTTATTTAATATTCATGGTTTACAACAGTTTATTAACTTACCAATAGGTTTTCCAAGGCGCCATTTCATCTGTTGTATGTCTGAAAAGACAATTCCGGGTGGCAAGGCTTCGTCGTCACAAAAGCTAACGTCTAGACTGGATGGTTCTTCCAAGACCTTGTTCTTTTTCTTGGGAGGCATCGGTACCTGCACCAGTTCCGTACCACGACGACGCATCATATAAACATTTAGACAATCACTGTAAATTATAAAAACTCGGTTAAAAAATTCGGCCGGTTACACATCTTTTATGTTGCTACAATTGACAATCTTTACACCTGTAGTAAGTAAGGGCTTAAGCTAATTGAATTTAAAACAACATGTTGTAAAATGTGACTAGAAATCACTATAATAGGATAAAATAATAAACAACAAAACGCTCACCATATATTTTATGTTACAAGCATAAATTGTATAAGTAACTTTCTACTAATTAAAGCCAAAATATAGCTGAAAAGTAAATATTGAAAAACTCATTAACATGGGAGAAACACGGAGTTATTGTGAGTGATATACACAAAAATTACACAACACCAATCAAATGATCGTCACATCGCCATGTTGTTTTAAATCAACCGATCAATGCTCAGTGTTACCAGGTAATTTTTTTGCCTTACCCTAGACTTTGTCTCGGTTTACCCTAGATTAAGCATATTTTTGAAAAAATACCCTAAACAAATTCCTATAAAAATTACCCACCTTTAGAGAGCTGGTTGATCTCCGGACTGACAACTCGCTTTTTATAGGCGATTAAAATTGTTTTCTTGCATTGCAAATTCCAAAGATTATATTTTATTTTAACCCCCCCTTCCCGTTGATAGTAAATTTTAAGGTTTTAGATTACAATCCCCCCCCCCACATCAAAATCACGTTTATTTTTAGTACCTACAAAAAAATCTTAATTCTTGACGCCGCTTTTCGGTTCTGTAATCGTTGTGTGTTAAAAATTTCGTGTTTCGATTGAGGTTCAGCTACAATTCAGTTGAAAATATTTCGCGCGATCGGGTTCACTCGTTGATGCCATTTTTCACAACTATAGAGTAAGTACGAAACTACCTTTCACACCTTGTTCACACAAGCTTTCACAACAAACAACCACAGAGTACATACTCCAACAATCTCCAACCACATTTAGGCTACAGACAACAGACACAATCGAAAAAAAGACAGGTAAAAAAAATTATATGCGTTCACTAATTACTACATTATAGTTGCATTCAAAAACACCAAACTGAGAGTTTTTATTTCTTTGGCAGTTGATTAAATAGTATGCTATTAAACGTTAAAGCTTTCAAGCTATTAGCTGCTATTACCCTAAAAAATACCCGCGGAAAATAAATTACCCCAAAAATACCCTCGAAACATTCATACCCTGAAAATTACCCTGTAGAATCAATTTTACTCTAAATCTAGGGTAAATTACCCTAAGTTGGCATCACTGTCAATGCTAATGGACGGATGTCATTATTTTGACGTCAGTTATAATAAAATAATAAAAATGTATAATACTTTCTACGAGTCCCTTAGAATTCATTTTGATTTTATTGTAGGAAGATGGTTCAAAATACTTTGTTCCTTAAAGCTTTAGCGTTAAATTTAAATTTAAAATTAAGTAAGACTGCCCGGTAAAATAACTGTATCTGTTCTGTGTTAAAAACGGACCACTCAGTATAAAGCTGATGCTAGACATATCATCAAAGTTTGAGCGACATTTATAAAAACATTTAAATGAAGTTTTGGGTGTGCCATACTTGCTTTGAAAAATGGTTGACAGAATGGATTACGAAAAGGCACGGAGTTTTTTTTTTTTTATGCAAAGCCATGCGTTGTTTACTAGGAGTTTTCCTCAGAATAATAAGCCTCATAATAATGGTTCTGTTTGAAGAAGCTCGAAAAATTCAATAACATTATTATTCTTCTCCATTATTAACACAAAAATGAAAATTAAACAAATCCATTAGTACAGATTAAACAAATATTTGTAACCACTTTCTTGTAATAAACTTTTTATTCATTCACGCTATGCTAAATATTGCAACACTTGTGGCAAGCCCACAAATTTTGCAGTGTATTGTTTTTTAATGGCTAATTCTAAATTAATATGTATTCAAACTTAGCACACATTCACTCTTCGATCAACAATAATATAATACCCGTGCTACACTTGGTTTCCTAGATTTGCGTATTTGAGCACATGTTTGACACGGGCTTTATAATTTAAAATATTGACAACTACATAAAACCAGATGAATAAAAAAAACGTAATTTTGAGCGAAATGTGATGCCGTGAAAATTAATTTTTGTTCTTAACTCTGACCTGGATTTATGGGGGTGGGGGTACTGGGCCTTCTTTGCAGGATACCGGACTCATACATACGCGTGAGGTGAAACGCAGCGGGTTTTATCAGGTTGGTCAGTCACATCAACCTGTCGTTTCAGGACGGTGTTGCTGGAGAGCCCTGACTTCAGTTTCTTTTTATTTTTATTTTGGTACAAACAGTGATCACCATAAAGTGAAATGTTACTCGCTGTTATTTTATTTCTACTGATTTAAATTTGGAATATCAACTTTTAGTTTAATTGTATCGCAAATAGATTTGTTTATATTTTCTCGTGATGAAGGGAACGATACATTGTCTTTTCGCTATTTAAGGCGGGAAAAAACCGATGCAGATTTTCCGCGAGTTGAAAAGTTTTTCTGTAAGCTGTAACTTGTCTATTACACAATACAGCGGTACAAAGTGACAAGTTCTCTGCAAGATCGCCAAAGGAGTGGTAGGCCATGCTCTGTGAGGACGTCTGCATAGATCAAAATCATCCGAGAGTGACTTCGCCGAAATCAATGTCGCACTCAGAAGAAACTCGCTCTGCAGACTAATATTGCGCGCGTTTCAGTGAACAGAATAGTGAAATATGATCTTAAGGTGAAGGCCTATAGCCGTAGAAAAGTTCGCGTTTTAAACGATTGTCTTCCTAAGTTACGACACGAACATTTTCCATTGCTGCTGAGGAGACATGATGTCAGGAAGATACTCTTCACCAACGAGCAAAATTTTTAAAGTTCAACCGACAAAACAATAAAGTGTACGCTAAAAGTAGCAAGGATGTCCCAACTTCTGCACAGAATGTCTCATACACTCATCATCCGCCTAGTGTGATGGTATCGTGGAGAGTTTAGTATAAAGGTGTCATTCCGCTCCATTTCTGCCAACAAGGTGTCAAGGTGAAAGCCAATAATTATCAGAGTGACATTTTACAACCCGTGGTGAAACCCCTGTCTGATACGTTATTTCACAAGAAGGATTGGGTTTTTCAGCAAGGTTTGGCGCCATCCCATAAGGCAAAAAGCACCCAAGCTTGGTTGAGGGAGAAAGTGCCAGTCTTGACTGCGGTGGAGGAGTGGCACTTCTCCAGCCCCGATCTCCACCCACTGGATTATTCTTTATGGACTAAATTAGAGCTCACGGCCTGCCAAAAGTCCCAGCCAAACTTGGAGTCACTGAAGCGAACTCCGCTAGAAAAGATTCGTGCTGCCATTGATGACTGGCCAAATAGTCTAAGGGCCTGTATTAAAAACAAGGGCGGTCATTTTTAATAAAATATATATTTAATTCTATTTAATGGTTACTTAAAATTTTAGAAATATAAGCTAATTATTAAAAAAGTTACGCAACTTTTATTTACACACGAGGTATACCGATATAAACCCGGAGGTTTCTTTTTTTATTACGACACGGCATTAAAAGTCATAATTTTGATTTTCGTAGCAGTACATCGTATCGTATCAAATTTAAAATAAGTAGTTTAAAATTAATGGAAATCTAGCAGCTAGTTGCACAAACGTTTCATTAGTTTAAATCGATATTACCCATAAAATTTGACATTCATTAGAGCCTAAATGCGTCATTAAACCTAATGGACGTTTGTGCAACTGTCCATTAGTTTATTTTTATATTGATTTTATTGTTTAATCTAAATTGTGTAAGACTTTGTTTCCTTGAATAGTTAAAAATAGTCTATTGTCCAACCGAAACTGGTTTTTATGACCGAAACCGAAACCGAATTTCGGCAACAGTCTCAGTTTCGGCCGAAACATGTTTTGAGGGTAAAATAAAGAAAACGTTATTATAATCAGTCAGTCTTAATTTTTTATCGATTGCAAAGGAAGGGTTATGTTTTTAGCATCCATACATCTTTTAAGACTTTTATGTAAATAGTTTAGCTTGAGTATCGCCGTGGCCCTCGATCGTTTTTGTTAAGCAACTTTCGCAAGGGTCGGTCACGGGACGGGTGACCAAAAAATTATTATCTCGAGTTATTCCGTGCTCTGGAAGGCACGATAAGTCCTTGGTCCTGACTGCATTTGCAGTTGTTAATACCCTCTAATCCGCATTTGGCCAGCGTGGAGGGTTCCACGCATGGCCTATCCTTCATAAGGAAGGCCTGAGCCCCTGCAGTGCGGATGTAAAAGGGCTGATGATATTGACATCTAAGAATCTATACTAATATTAAATAGAGGAAAGATTTTATTGTTTGTTTGTTTGTATCGAATAAGCTCCGAAATTACAGGTACGATTTTATAAATTCTTGCACCTTAAAAAAATTCTTCGATATTATTTACGCGTGCAACGTCGCGGGAAAACAGTTAGTTCATAAATAAAAAACTAGAGAATGTGTGAATTAGATAAAACGTAATTTTAATTTCTTAATAAGATTTCATGTGAAACTAAACAGATCTAAGTAACTACGAGTATTCGGAATTGTATGATACGTTTATAAATGATGTAGGTATTTTGTCACATATATTTTTTTTTTTTTTTTTTTTTTTATTTATTATATGGTTTACCAACATTCGGTTACACAATAAACTTACGTACTAAAGATTGTAAAAAGATGTATCACATGCATGTATGTAACGAACAATTACAGGTAAACACCGCATGCTTAGAACAAACAAATAACTATTATTTTCTTAACTAAGGTGTACGAACCAACTTTTGATTAATATTCAATAATTCATATACTTGAACCATTAATTGACATTAAAATTAAACAACTTAACAGAGCACCACTCTAATAGTACAATTACAAGTGTTACCTATTGAGGGCATTGTTTCCATGTCTCAAACAAAATCGATTTGATCCTGGCAAATGTGTCCCCATGTACATCAATGATGCTGTTGTTTTCGTTTAAGAGTCTACAAATTCTTGGAATAGGTGAATTTGCACCTAACTGCGACTTACGATATGGTGGGCACAGGAGCGACATTGGGTAACGGGGGTATCTACTGGGAACTCTAAATTTAAACAAGCGAAGAAGAGGAGGACAATCAATTTTCTCATTAAAAACTTTAAAAACAAATGATAGATCCAACAATTTCCTACGGTTAGCCAGTGACAGTAATCGAAAGTAATTTAACCTTTTTTCGTAGGATCTAATACTCTTAGTGATTCCTTCCTTAAATGACAAATAAGAAACGAATTTTCTTTGTAGTCGCTCTAACCTTAAAGAATGTGTAGCATAGTGCGGTCTCCAGACCACACTACAATATTCCCCCAAAGCGCGAACAAGGCTACTGAATAACAAAATCTTTATTTTACTATTTTTAAATTCCTTAGTGTTACGAATCACGAATCCTAACATCCTATTACCTCTTTTGTATATATTTTCCATGTGCGGAATAAAGGTCAGTTTTCTGTCGAATATAACCCCCAAGTCTTTTATTTCGTCTATGTTTTTTATCCTTTCAGAACCTATTTTATATTTAGTATTAAAAGACACATTTTTTCTAGTGAACTTCATGTGGTAACATTTATCAATATTTAAATCCAAATCATTGAATTGACTCCATTTGACTAGCCGGTTTATGTCACCCTGTATCAACTTCATATCATCAACGGTTTCACAATTCGAAACTAGCTTTAAGTCATCGGCATACATAAAAGCTCTAGAATGTTGAAAGCACTCGGATATGTCGTTGATAAAAATAGTGAACAATAGCGGACCCAAATGTGAGCCTTGCGGAACGCCAGATGTTACACAGTATCGAGCGGAGCTGAATCCATTAACAACTACGTAGAAACTTCGATTACTTAGGTAAGAATTAAACCATTCCAGCAAGGGGCCCACCATGCCATAAGCCTTGAGCTTATATAAGAGAATATCATGAGGAACCCTGTCAAACGCCTTGCTGAAGTCAGTATAAATTACGTCAACCTCTTTGCCAGTATCCATGGCTTCAGCTACTATTTCAGTAAATAGTGTTAAATTTGTGGCGGTAGATCGACATTTCACAAAGCCATGCTGAGAATCGGTCAGATAAGTTTTTATGTGATTTTGGAGTAACGGACAAAGGAGCGATTCAAAAACTTTTGCCAGTGTCGATAAAATAGATATAGGCCTATAATTACCAACCATATCTACTCTGCCACTTTTATGAACGGGTACAACCTTAGCAGATTTCCATTCTTTAGGAAACACTCCAGTATGAAGGGACTTATTGTAAATTAGATAGATTGCTGGAAGAAGGTCCTCCGCGCATGATTTTATGAAAAAAGGAGGGATGCCATCTGGTCCTGCGCCTTTATCAGCATTAAGAGATTTTAAAGTTTTCAATATTACTTTTTCACTAAGAACAGGAGCCCTCAGCTCTAGGCTGTAGTTTTGCATTACTTTTAAATATTCATTATTGCTGGGTATTTGTGCCTTTCCAGAGACTTTATACACTCTTTCAAAATATGAAGCAAACATATCACATATTTCTGAACCATTGCTAGATGATATATTGCCATCAGTTATTGTTTGTGGATAATTACTTCTATTTCCTCTTTTTGCTTTAACATAGGACCAGAATAGTCTCGGGTTAGTTATAATACCCTTTTCCATATTATCAATATATTTTTTATAGCACAAGTTTAATAGTATCTTAGCCCGCTTATTTAGGATTCCAAGTTCGACTCGGTCAAGTGGATTTTTATATTTATTATAACGCTTCCTGATTTTTTCCTTTTCTTGCAATATTCCCCTAACATCACTACTAAACCAGTGTGGCATAGTAGCAACTCTAAAAGCCCTTTTGGTAGGCACAAATTGACTGATTACCCTATTTATGATTGTATAGAAAATATTTACCATTCCATTCACATCAGGAGCCTCACTAAGCAATTCATGCCAGTCATATTTAGCCAGAGATTCACGAATAGAATTAAAATTTGATTTGCGGAAATTATATACTCTATTGGCGGGATTATATGAAAGCGCCGTGTCAGCATCTTTTGATATAATTATTTCCAGATAATGTATGTAACTCATCTATTGGTGTGTAACTCATCTATTTTACGTAATTTGACGCAAGATTTAGTGACCTTACAACCTGACAAGTTTGTGAGAATTAGATCTAAAATATTACCTGATTTATAATAAAACAAATACTAAAAAAAAGGTAAGGTGATACGGAACTCACGTGCGCAAATTCTACTCGCACGTAGCCAGTTTTTCATAATCATACTAAAATTTATTTATAACATATCTTGTATTAAAATTTATTTATAGCATATTTACTAATTTATTTAAATGAGTGAAAAAACAAAAGATATTGAAAAAAAATCTTATATCGACGGTTATGTATATTTTTTTATGTGTTGTCCGACCGACGACACCGAGTTCCCCGTGAACTTTTGAACTAATTTTATATCAAATAGGTATTGAAAATGTATTATATCGTACATACATATTTCAAAAAAATCCAGGACGGTTTAAATATTTGGTTCAAAAACGTGACGTGATATTTAATTATTAATGAAAAATTAATGCGCAAAAAAATAACTTTACGTATTATCTCTGACACGAGAAAAGTTTTGCTCGGTTTCCAAAATTTTGAGGAGCTGCTCACACTGTGGGAAACACTATTCCATGTCCGGATAAAAATCCGCAGATTTGTGACATCCGCGTGTCTCTACTCGTTTTTGTAGGCCTCCTTCATTTTAATATAGGTATATAATAAATTTTGTGAGTTTTCCATCCATTTCACATATCATTTCCTTATAAATAAACGGCGTTTATCTTCATCTCATGTGGCTATCATAATATACTATGTAACTGGCATAAATTTTACAATACCGTTAACAGGAGGTGAACTAGTTGTCTATCTTTGAAGCAACCGTTATTAATCTTATTAAATGTGGTTATCACGAGTCCCTACCATCTACCGCTATGGCGCGTTATGGGGATCACGCTCCAAGATTGGGAGTGCTCGCTCGCAGGCAGCAAAATGCAGTGCAACACGGACAACACGGTGTGTGAGGCGAGGGCGACGGAGTGCGGAGGTCGGAAACATTTTCATTCACCACTAAGCTGCCGAGAGAGGACGTCGCGCGCCCCGTCCTATGCGGCATACGAAATCGTCGCGAGTATTATTGTTTGTCAACAAATATGTAGCTTCAATAAAATCGCATTGTGTTAGGTGATGTTAAATAAAGCGGGAGACATTTTGTGTTTTCTTTTGTTTTGTTTTCGTACACGAAGTTGTAACGGTGTTGCACGATGGATGGAGCGAACGCTGACTCGGATCATTCTATGACTTGGGAGGACTTTTTCGGTTTGTACTATCTCCTAAATATTCTTGTTTTTTTTTTCTTTACATAGTAGTCAGCCAGTACTCACGCCTTATTTTGTGTTAGCAGGCACTTGTTAGACATCGATAAGTTAGAACTCTATCTGTAGGAACTGAAATCTCTAACTCACTGAAAAGTTTGGCTACCGGTTGATTATAAAATTTTGTTTATGGTAAATTGGAAGTTAAAAAAAAATCTCGCTTGCTTTTTAAGTCTTCTACTGAAAAATATTTTACGTCCATAAATATAGAAGTACTAATCATTTTAATTTATTATAAAAGCTTCGATATTTGAATTTTCGCTCTGAGGCATCGAGGCTGAGGGAAGGGACAGGTTTGAGTAGCATTTCCCCTTATGGGAGGCCGTGCGTTGCGTTCACTGCACCTCTTGCAACAACAAAACGGCAGCCGATTATTATACGTTATCAATCATATTATGCTTATGAATTGCTTACATATTACTACTAGGTAGTTTACGTGAGGTATACCTTTTAAACTTTTTATTTTTACTTCACCAAAACCGTGCTTCGGAAGGCACGTTAAGCCGTTGGTCCCGGCTGCATTTGCAGTCGTTAATACACTTCAATCCGCATTGGGCCAGCGTGGAGGGTCATGGCCCATCCTCCTTAACCATTCATAAGGAAGGCCTGAGCCCTTGCAGTGGGGACGTAAAAGGGCTGGTGATGATGATGATGGTGATAACAATGATACACACTATTATTTTCGGTAAAAATTTTATGTAGAGCGCATTTTTTATACTAATGTTACCTATATTAAGACATCACAGATATTGCTCGGCTTCCAATATCACAACACCCAGATGCGAGACAATATAGAGTAGTCCTTTTTTTACATTGAACCGATTGGGAATTGAACGTGGGACTTCAGAGATGGCGACACCTTGACACCGTCGTGTGATCCACTCGGCTACGGAGGTCAAAACATGTAGACGAATTTTTAAGTTTTTATACATTATGAAAAAAATATTTTGATAAAATTAATAAATTGTTAAATGGGTATGTTCTAAGATACATTTAGACACTAATGAAAAGAAATACATTTTACATTTTTAATACATGCTTATTAATAAAAAAATGTTAATCCGAACTACTATTGATTTATTATAGCTTTGAATGTTTAACAGACTACATATTGCTAGTCTACCTCGTCTATACTCTATGATTATAAATTTATATTTAACCTAACTCTATGTACCTGCTCTACCTACCTTCTAATGCGTACTAATATATAGGCATTAGATGTGATGCAACTTAGGAAGGTCACGATAAATCGATGACTCATTGCAGACAGTTGCTTCTTCAATGTGTTTTATCGCGTTCGAGTTCATGTGATTTTGTATGATTTTAGAATTGAGCCAAGTAGCGTACAACAGTTATAACTCTAGGTGTGAGGCATATGTCCATATTGTTCATAACATCAAATAATTGAAGGAAAACAGAAAGCAATTTTATATATACCACGCATGTGATCGAAGTAAAATGTGTATTTAATTAATTTATTAATAAGCGATCGGCATATAAACTTCGGTTTTTGTCTTATGTTACGGCTTCGAGTGACTATTTGGTTTTCAAAAAGGTTCTCCATTGCCAAAAAAGTCGGATACAAGATCAATCTATAAATTACCGCTTAATACTTTTGTAATGTTATATAACTTTAAAAAAAAAACAAAAAAAATGTTTTTTAAGTCGATCAATTTTAGCTTAAATAAATCTCTGATAAATTTTTGCATTCTTTGTGACAAACGCATGAATTTATTAAAAAAAAAGATAGGTTTACAAATTCTGCTGGTCTAAAATATTCAGTTATAATAGTCCACGATTTAGAATTTGGTTAGAAATATTTAAAAAAGACTTATTTGTTTAACTAAATATTTTTTAATAATTAAAAATCTTTATTTGTAAAAAGTTAGTACCTATTTCTTTTTATGTGTAGATTTAAAATGCATATTTAGTAATATACCTAATACTAGTCGTGTTACACGGATTTATAAGCTATAACGCTTTATTATTTATGTCTTTATTATTGTCCTACCTATTTCAAATTCTTTATTCGTTTTTCTTTGAGAAAAACTCAGTCATTTCCCCGTTACTCCCGGGTAAATACAATATAATGTTATAGTCTATTTATTTTTCATGTGAAGTAATGATTTAAACATTTGCAATTATCACAAACGAGGTTTATTATTTATAGTTACCACAGACTAGTTAATCACACGTAATATTTTTATTTTATTTCCTCCTATCTTTTAAACACTATAGAATTTAGTACTTATTAAATAGACCGTCCAGTATTTATACTGGCGAGAAGATATTTTTCCACGATTCTTGTAATTATGTTATTGCTTTATCTCTAGAATGTCGACCACAAGATAATGACAGAGACTAGTTGTCATTATTAAACATGTTCTTTGCAACGTTTGGAGCATATTTGGAGCCTGTTTGTATTGTTTACCGGGTGTAAACGAATTTAAGTTCGTTCAAAATCAATTCAATAGAGTATCGTACTTATATAAAACTCAAGCAAAATTATAGATAGTTTAAATCTTAATCTTAATATGACCAAAACTGGGACATCTGCCCTATTTTTTAGAAATAAATCATAAAAATATTTGGTTGTAGTTACTTTACTCAGTAAACATTTTCTTTAGTTATATTATATGTATAGCATCCCTTTGTTTTTGTTCCTTAACAACAAATTTATTGCATGCTAAATCAGTTGTTAAATCCATAAATGCCGGTAAATTAACAATGTGTTTTGTTTTTGATTTTATGATAAACCCTTATTTATGAAATAATGAGTAACTATTGAAATGAGCATCACTCTTGGCGCGTTCACGCTACTGGCATGGAATTTTGATAGAATTAATTAAGTGTTCTTCCTTTGAACCACTACAACGTGACAGGAAGTTTTTTTTTAAATTTGAAATTTGAATTTAATGTATTTTGAATTATACAACTTTCTATATTTGAAAAGTTGATATAACGTAAATAAGTTATTTCTGGGATAATATACATTTATGTACCTGCGTAATTAATTTCCGTGTTGTTTGTTTTAAAATAACTATTTGAAGACGAAACAAATATAATAGACGTGTCCTTAATAACCTTTTAATTCCTGACTTTTTTTTTATAAAAGTATCTGTTATTGAATGAAATGAACATTTTCATTGATAAAAAAATTACAAATAGGTACTTATAACATTTTTACGCACTCGTCACCTTTTTGCATGGAGTCCTTGCGAAGGCTCAGGGCAACCCATGCCAAAGCAGGCAAGTTCTTTACATTTTAAATTATTAAATGACAACATTTCTCTTCACTAACGATTACTACTGTGTTTTAGTTTGTTGTTATCATATAATGTAATCATCGAACGTAATTATTTCGTTTAACGTAAACACCATTATTAATTTGATGAGTTGCAAGCTTGTATAAAACAATCGATGCTTTAAAACTAAACAAGCTATTTTTATTTAACTGTTTTTTGGCAAACATAATTTCATGTTCGTGCGTCTTCGTATCATACTATGAAATTGAATAACATAGGTTGGTATGTTTATTTTCTTGCGGTTTATAACTTCAGTGGTTTTAACTTGCATTCTCAGCTAAAGAGTCATTGAATTACATAACGAAACGGAACATAAATTTAATTAGTTAATTATAAACAGTGATAATGAAATTGGGTACATGATTCTTAAGTTTACTAACTAATAAAATGAAAAATTAAATTAAGTGACGTCATTTATTATACAATACCATTAACGGCTGACCGGTGGGAGCCACATGCAGGAGATAACAACAACTACAGGAGTCGCAGGTGCTTCAGTGGATTCAGTGACAATATCAGTAGAAACATTATGCAATACAGTATGATGGCTATTTTGTTTGTCATTGTAACCATCGATTTTGCATTAAAATCTCTTGTGATAACGATATTGATGAGAGCCCTTACTGGGACACTTGTGATGAACTTTTTGTGAAGAAACCCATTCCCTCTTCATTTCAGGCGGAAGGCCACGTCGCCTGAAGTTTCAAAGTAAGAGCACATCTTTTCTTTTGATATCGGAGAAACAGTTATAGTACGTGGTACAGATGACGTGGTAGAGGTAGGATGATAACGTTCCTTGGTTACGGGTATGTCGTTCATTTCCGATACCGTGAAAACTTGGTACCTCACCCGCAAGTTGGCTTAGTGCATCAGAAAATCTTCGTGCATCATTTGTATTTATACAGATCTCCCATTTCCCTACTGGCAGCAGTCAGCTCATCTAGACTGAAGCAGCGGGGTTAGCTTGCTGACAATTTCGTTCAAAAGCTTTGGGGAGGCAAGATATTCAGGCCGATGCAGCAGCTACACCACCTGCACGCAGTTGTAAACCTTAAAACATTTAGCTCATTCGCGCTCTCGCGACTGGAGAGTTTTTTGAAGTGCGAGCGGATGCGATCTCAGTCCAGACACGAGTTCTCGAATGACCTCCAAAGGGTCTCGTGCAGCTACAAGAAGAACAGCTACAGAGCCCCGTGCAGGCCCCCGAAGGGTTGCATTGATTCATTCATTGCTTTTGTAAATGACGGGCTTGTTTCGTCGTAAATTTTCTTAAAGCTTAGCCAGTCTGTTGGCTAACCTTCAAAAAAAGGGAAATGAAAGTTTACTTTTGGGGTCTTCGCTGCCACTGCTACTCTGACTGACTTTAGCTAAGTTTTGTATAGAGTTTTAGTTTTCTAATGCTATATTTATTTGGGTCACATTTTTGAGTGTTTTGTGTAAGTACCTAATGTAGAGTGTGAGTGAGAACAAATTTTCTAAAATTCTTAAGATTTTTTTAAGTTTTGTTTTGTACTGGACACTGTAGCTGAGCCGCTTACTAAACCAAACAGATTTATATCTATGCGCTAAATCAAACCATGGATAGATTTGTTAGCTATTTTGTGAATAGCATAAAACGGGGTATAATTTAGATTTCTAA